TATTAAACACAAAATACGAACATAGGATTCTCAATGTTGCCTTGTTCGGGTTTTGAAAAAAAAATGTTTTTTTTTTCAATTGAAACAAATTACGACAACATGTCATGTGCGTAAGCCCATTAGTCTGTTTTAAAAATTTAGTTTATTTATCTCTTCTATAGAACCTCTCTACCCCAAATCAGTCAAAAGAATATAAAAAACATGAAAGCTTTGTATAAGTAATGGTGTCTTGTGTTATGTTTATTTTTATGGGGGTTTTTTTTTGTATTTATATTATTAATTTTAAATGCATTTCCTTTTTATACATACAATGCCATTCTTTAGTAATTACTTTATAAAACAAAATAATTAAGAGAAGTAATTACTTTTTATTTGTTTAGTACAAATCTATTAAAAGTAGCTTAAGAGCACCCTTATTTGACTATTTAAAAAAAGGGAAATAATTCATGGAAGTGGTTTGAACGTTTGCTTATCTTTGATAAGTTTGATTGTAGATGAAAGAGGACTCTGCTTTCACGGTGGTTTAAAACCAAAGGGAAAAAGAATATACAAGAGCGTCGTGGGGTGGTGTCTATAGAATAAAGATAATCCAACCGCAGCTACGGTAATCTTTTTACAAAACAACTATGAAGTCAAAAATGCAAGAGAATTATTTTTTTAACTATAAAAAAATGTATTCTGGTCGTCTGTGGGCCCCTAAATGGCGTGGGCCCCCCCCCCCCCCCCCCGCATTGCGGAGTCTGGCGGCACTGTAGTTCCGCCCCTGGTGGGGGAGGGAATATAACACATAAGATGGGTTGGGAAGGCTGTACGTGCTGATCATCTTGACTCATACTAACGTTGCTTTTTTTTAAGGTGTGTGTGAATGTGTTTGTTATGTAATTTATTCAGCTTCCTTCCCCTCCCCTCCCCACCCCCTATAGTTGCATATAGTTTTTAACACAATCCACCAGATGTACACGCGCGTAAGTGGACAGACCTTGTGACACAATAGCGCCTAGCACAAGCCTGGCGCTGAGCTAGACGCAGATAAGTAAACCAAGAAGAAGCCTAATCATCTACTTGCGATGTGTTATTAAAATATGATATTTCGAGTATATAACAATTTTATTTTTTTTTAGTTTCAGTAACGTGTTTGCTGTTGGTGGTTTTTTTTTTTTTTTTTTTTTTTTGGTGTTCGTTGCGGAACTTGTTTTAAAGTTTATTTAATTATTCTCTGAAAAAGGCGCCACTATCTTTAAAATGGCCGTAGGGGGAGCTGTATCTCCACTGCTTCCCCTTGCGTACACTACTGTTCAGCATATGAGATAAGGCACAAAATTTACATTTTTATCCACCTTTCCCATATGATTAATAAACACAAAACCGAAATAGTGTGTTTAAAAGAAAGATTAAAGCAATATGGTCAGCGGGTTAGAGTAATCTGAACTTTCCGCTAAGATGCACCATCGTATCTGTTACAAGACACCACCACCACCTTTAACTATTTCAGGCCGGGAGTTTCTACCAGAAGGACGCGTGCACTTCCTGTTTTTGTGACGACTCGTCCAGAGGCGTAGCAACCCATTTCGGCGCCCTGTGCGAACTATCTATTTAGTGCCCCCCCCCCCCCACACACACACATGTATATATCTATTCATGCTTCCGAAAAAGCCCCCCCCCCCCCCCCACACACACACACCACACATCAGTCCCCGTTAATTGTTTTTTTCCCCGTATCACACAAGCAGCGTAAAAAGCCACCCATAGAGTTAAATGGATATTTTCTTAAATTCGACTGTAATGCAGCTTGGAATAAGCTTGTAATTTTTTTTCTACCCGATTCGGCGCCTCCTCACCCCTCTCCCTTATCTACCCCTCTGGACTCGTCAAGTAGTTCATTTGCGGCTGTCGCGTGTCAAATACCAGACTGTGATGGCGACTCACAGCTTGGGTACGTGGGGGACCAGTGTGGTCCGACCTGCTGGTCTTGGTTATCTATTTGTAACTTGACATCATAGATCTTTTAAAAAGGGGGCAACTTTTCCACCACACACTTGCATAGCTCGCATGGATCTGGGTAGTAGACCTCTCCTGCCTGGGAAAGTATAAAAGTTGGCAATGTGAGGCAGATGTAGATCAGTTGGTGGGGGGTTAATGCTACGGATTGTAGTATTGGGGCTGAGGTTTAAATTTTTAGATTTAAAACTAATTTATTAAATATTTTGGGCAGAGGTTTTTTGTATTATTTCAAAAACTCTGCCCCCTGCATATATCAACTCTGTATCGAAAGTTTAGCTAACCGTCGATTGTTTGTAAATTATCTTCTTTAACTTTGGGGTGATCACGAGATCACAGTTATAAAAACAAATAGAAGCAAACGACAGTAGAACAGAGACTAAAGTAGAAGCGAAACTCACTTACCTTATATTGTACACCATTATTCTGGCAATTACTGATTCTGCTTACGGATATGGCACCTTGACCATTGGTAAATTCAAATATGACCACAGATAGCAGAGCACTCAGCGCGAAACAGATTTTCATCTTAAAACTTTGGAACAGTCTGAGCACAATCAGAAAGAAAGAAAGAACCGCTGGTTTTACTTGATCAAGATGCTTTTAACTGGCTGGGTTCTGCTACTAATGTCCAAATGAAATATCCAAAGAAAAGTTCTCGCCTGTCGCCTCATATACGACTAATAGACATAGGCTATATACAGTGCATTTAATCGATATGTAAATAAGTTTCATCAGGCAATTTCACAATATAAACTTCTGTAACAGATTAGACAAAAAAGTGGATCAATGTTTAGCAGAGGGATTAAGTTAAAGTGAGTTAAAGTTTTAAAGATAAAAATATTCGGCAGTAAACTTGCTGAGGTGTACAAAAATGTTTGCTGAAGAATGTGGGTTTTTTCATTAGGGTGTGATGAAATGTTAAGTAACGTGACACAGATTTGAAGTGAGGTATTAAATGTAGAACGTCAAAACGGAAACTTTAAAAATTAATAAAAGTTTGTCAACCAAAAAGTATATGGCCAATTTACCAAATCTTCTGTAAAATATGTTTTTTAAAAGTCTGCTTCGTTAGACTAAGAATGATTCAAACAGATTTACTTTGGTAATGTCGGGGATTATGTTATAACTGTGGGCAAAAAGTTATTTGAGCTGTTGTTATGTGAGGTAAGGTAAGGTTATGTTATATGTAACCAGAGGCGTAGCGAGGGGGAGGGCGGGGGTGCGGACCGCACCGGGTGACACTATTTAAGAGGGTGACACCAATGCAAAAAATAGCAAAATGTATAGAGAAATACTTAAGGGTGGGGGTGCAAATTGAAAGTTTGAGGGGGGGGGGGTGCAAATCAAAAGTTTGAGGGGGGATGCAAATTGAAAGTTTGTCCCCGGGAAGGGTCACTACGCCTTGGGGGGGGGGGGGGGGGGTGACACCATTAAGCGCCGCACCGGGTGACACCCGACCTCGATACGCCACTGTATGTAACTTAGCAATAGATCAGTAGCTTTAATAATACGATTTTTTTTGTTGTGGTGAGTTGTTATTGTGCACAAACACACACATATATATATATATATATATATATATATATATATATATATATATATATATATATATATATATATATACATACATACGAGCACAAACAGAAATTGACAGAAATAAAGACAGACACACATACATGCATACAAGAACACACCATCCGGAATGTGTACATTCTTATAAGTAAAACAATGCATGTGGTTTTTTAACACACAGCACAATACACACAATACAACACAATACATATAACACACGATCTAATGTATATGTACACACTAAGTAGTGACACACATATTGTACACAGATACATCTACGCTCTCTGGGTATCACTTTCTCTCCTTTACTTACTTTTACGGAACGGTTTGGAATAAATGTGTAATCATTCTTGAAATCAAAGAACGTTAAATGGCCTGGAGAGAAAATCTTTAGCAACGGCGCGAAATGGGCTACTAATTTGGGTGAAGTTGTAATTAATTAAGCTGATTACCTTTTGTTTGGGATCAATAAAGAAAAAATCAAGCAGGGATGGTTTGTGTAACATTTGCTTAGTATGTGGGAAATGTGTGGGCACAGTCATGGTGTGTGTGTGGTGGGGATAGCACAGTCAGTGTGTGTTTGAGGAGAGGGGGGATGTTAACACAGTCATGTTGATGAGCCGATAGAAAAGCATGGAAAAACCCGAATATTCTTACACCTCGTTTGCTCTTGCGATATGTAGGCCTATACATACATATCTAGAGGGAAAACAGAGCAAGTAAGTATACAGGTTCGGTGGGGAAAATGTTTTTATAATCTAACATTTACTTTTGTGAGGTTTTTTTCTAAACATGTATGATTTTCATGTCGCAAGTGTAAACGCATTGTTAGCAATCAAACAAAAAACAACTGGTAGATTTTTTGTATCTTCATCATAAGGTGTTTTTTTATTATTATTTTGAACGACATTATATTTATCATTTGAAAATTGAATCTATATATATTACCACTGAGCAGAGAAACATTTTAAACAAACTATCATGCACACCGAATGCTAACTCTAGTACACTTTAGGTCCTTAAAAGTTGAGCGCTAAAGTAAATGGATTTTTGTTTTCACTTTTTTAACATTTTGTTGACAATATGTGACATGCATACTGTCGGTATTATCATTATGTTAATCATCTAACTTGCTTTTATTTTGCTTGAGTAATATACTCACTTAGCAATGAAATCTAATAGAAATAAAACAAATTTAAATGTAACAAAAATAAAAGAATTTATTAGACATCATTAGACTACTTACAAATGAGTACTGATCCAGAATGAGAATATTTAGAACAAGTGGACTTTAAATGAAACCGTGATGACGCTTCTTGGTTGTAAATTTTCTTCGACAACCTGATGCTCATATTCTTAATTGGGTTTTTGTGTTTCCCGCGTACTGTGTAGCACCGGTGCTAAACACGGTGCCGAGAATCACACATTACAGTCAACTATCATGGTGTCAACTTTTACACGCACATGTTGATAATTTTTTAGCCAGTCGGGAAAATCCTTGTCAGATATTGTCCAAACTCAAACTGCCATAACTCCAGCAATCCGAGGGGTCGGTGGTCTGTGGGCCATGCTTGGGGTCCTGTGGTCAGTGGTCCGCGATCACTCTGTTTTAGGCTACAAGCTGTGAACTGTCGCTTTTTGGGATGAACACATCGGTAAGTGTTGCTGTCGTCCGTATTGTAGCACCGCGCTGCCATGATGCCTCAACCCGAGTACCTCTACCCTAACCCTACCCTAACCATAACCCTGGCTTCAAGCTAACTCGTTTATTTGTTAATGTCAATAGTGATATTTACATTCCTTAAAGCAAGGTTTATCTTGTTGTTGGGGGAGGGGGAAGGTAGAGGTTGTGTTTTGGAATAAATGTATTACTATTGTTGATGTTTTAATATGAGATATAATTATCGATCTCTACTTTCAGTATTACGTAACTGTCGTCATCATCGTCTGCCAGTCTGCCGCCATCTTGTCCTGCAGGAATCCTGACCGTAATGCACGTACGTCACCCTAGAGGTCTCTGTTGTAGCTGTTGGTGTTTTGGATGTGTCACCCTAGAGGTCTCTGTATGTTGTAGCTGTTGGTGTTTTGTGTGTGTCACACTAGAGGTCTCTGTATGTTGCAGTTGTTGGTATAGTCACACTAGAGGTCTCTGTATGTTGTAGCTGTTGGTGTTTTGTGTGTGTCACACTAGAGGTCTCTGTATGTTGTAGCTGTTGGTGTTTTGTGTGTGTCACACTAGAGGTCTCTGTATGTTGTAGCTGTTGGTGTTTTGTGTATGTCACACTAGAGGTCTCTGTATGTTGTAGCTGTTGGTACAGTCACACTAGAGGTCTCTGTATGTTGTAGATGTTGGTGTTTTGTGTGTGTATAGTCACACTAGAGGTCTCTGTATGTTGTAGCTGTTGGTGTTTTATGTGTGTCACACTAGAGGTCTCTGTATGTTGTAGCTGTTGGTGTTTTGTGTGTGTCACTCTAGAGGTCTCTGTATGTTGTAGCTGTTGGTGTTTTGTGTGTGTCACACTAGAGGTCTCTGTATGTTGTAGCTGTTGGTGTTTTGTGTGTGTATAGTCACACTAGAGGTCTCTGTATGTTGTAGCTGTTGGTGTTTTGTGTGTGTCACACTAGAGGTCTCTGTATGTTGTAGCTGTTGGTGTTTTGTGTGTGTCACACTAGAGGTCTCTGTATGTTGTAGCTGTTGGTGTTTTGTGTGTCTATAGTCACACTAGAGGTCTCTGTATGTTGTAGCTGTTGGTATAGTCACACTAGAGGTTTCTGTATGTAGTAGCTGTTGGTGTTTTGTGTGTGTCACAGTAGAGGTCTCTGTATGTTGTAGCTGTTGGTGTTTTGTGTGTGTCACACTAGAGGTCTCTGTATGTTGTAGCTGTTGGTGTTTTGTGTGTCTATAGTCACACTAGAGGTCTCTGTATGTTGTAGCTGTTGGTATAGTCACAGTAGAGGTTTCTGTATGTTGTAGTTGTTGGTAGTCACACTAGAGGTTTCTGTATGTTGTAGCTGTTGGTGTTTTGTGTGTATATAGTTGGGTGATTTGTGTATACAGTTGGATTATTTGTGTATATTTGGATGATTTATGTATACAGTTGGATAATTTGTGTATACAGTTGGATGATTTGTGTATACAGTTGGATGATTTGTGTTTACAGTTGGATTATTTGTGTATATTTGGATGATTTATGTATACAGTTGGATAATTTGTGTATACAGTTGGATGATTTATGTATACAGTTGGGTGATTTGTGTGTGCAGTTGGATTCTCTCAGTATAGTTTGATGTTATGTGTAGGGCATCTGTGTAGATTTCGAGAAAAAATATTTAGTGTCAAGGTAAGTGTGTACATTTAATGTTATCTGTGTACATTTTGATTTTATTTGTGTACCTTTGAATGTCTGTACATTCTGATGTTATTTGTGTGTAGCTGGATTTTTGTACATTCTAATGTCATCTGTGTACAGTTGAGTGTGTGTACATTAAAGTTGTATATGTATACAGTTGGGTGTGTGTACATTAAAGTTGTATATGTATACAGTTGGATGTGTGTACATTTAATTGTATGTGTACAGTTGGGTGTGTGTACATTCTGATAATTTCTGTGTACATTGTGATATTATATGTGTACAGTTGGGTGTGTACACTCTGATATTATATGTGTACAGTTGGGTGTGTGTACATTCTGATCTTATCTGTGTACACTCTGATATTATCTGTGTACAGTTGGCTGCGTCTATCTACAAAAATACCTGCACCACGGCGACCTCTTCCACTCTGACGACTACTGCAATGTGCTACGGTGCGACAAAGGGAGGCTAATCCCGATCAAAGGAAGTGAGTTGGGTAACGCTCCATGCGCACACATACACGCACACACATACACGCACGCACGCACATACACGCACGCATGCATAATCACCCAAATCATAAGATATATGTATATATATATGTATATATATATATATGTGTATATATATATATATATATATATATATATATATATATATATATATATATAATGCTCTGTCCCAGGCTGTATTGACGAGAATGGTGTCTGCTACAGATTTGGGGAAATTTTCTTAGAAAATATCGCCAAAACCTGGTACAAATGTTACTGCGAGATACAGAAGACCTACAGCCAAAACTGGATCCGTATATATAAATGCTATACGAAATAATGGTCTACTGTTTTAAACGCAGTCCAACTGTTTAAAGTGATGGTCAAATGTTATTAAGTTAAGGTCCAATGTTGTGTGTATCCCGCACGGTCAAATGATGTAATCTGTCATTTATAAGCTGACCTACCATAAAAAATAAACTGTTCATGTTAGCTGTTCGTATACGGCGTTGTCATCTCTTGATGTCTGTGAATATTGTATAGTGCCTGTTTTGTTTAGCGCATTGGTTCTTAACCTGGGTTCGATCAAACTACGAGGGTTCGGTGATTTTGTCTCAAGGGTTTGGCGAAGGTCAAAACACGCAACCGACTAACACAATTGGATTTTGTCAGTGGTGCAGACGTTCATACGATTAAGAAGGGTTCGGTGAATACGCTTATGAAACTGGTGGGGTTCATTACCTCCGAGAAGTTAAGAACCACATGAAAGGGAAAGTCGCCGTACTAAGATTTACCGATGTTGTCGCATGTGTGCTTGTGTCTATTGCAGGATCTTTATTGTAATAGACCGCCTCCTCGTCAATGACCAATTCGCACCTATGCCATTGAATCAACTACAGACATTGTACTATCTTATAAAATTATCCCCACTTATATTAGGCCTGCTAATCTCCCAAATGTGTGGCCAAAGGACTTTTATTTCATTGGTTGCGTAAAAAACAAAAACAAAAAAACAAAATAAAAGGCAGTATTGAACTTTGACTTAACAGGCACGTAAATCTTCAGTCGCTATTTGTTTTTAAACTTCCTTGTAAAGCGAGAGAACTTCGTCAATGTTTTGAAATAAACCACCTAGCAAGGCTGTATATATTTACAAATGGGTAAGAAATGTAACGTTACCCTTTTTAAACACAGTAATCCCGAACGAGGTATATCCCAGCGAGGTATATCCTAGCGAGGTGTATCCTAGCGAGGTATATCCTAGCGAGGTGCATCCTATCGAGGTGTAAATCCTAGCGAGGTGCATCCTAGCGAGGTATATTCTAGCGAGGTGCATCCTAGCGAGGTGAAAATCCTAGCGAGGTATATTCTAGCGAGGTGCATCCTAGCGAGGTATATTCTAGCGAGGTATATCCTAGCGAGGTATATTCTAGCGAGGTGCATCCTAGCGAGGTGTAAATCCTAGCGAGGTGCATCCTAGCGAGGTATATTCTAGCGAGGTGCATCCTAGCGAGGTGTAAATCCTAGCGAGGTATATTCTAGCGATGTGCATCCTAGCGAGGTATATTCTAGCGAGGTATATCCTAGCGAGGTATATCCTAGCGAGGTATATTCTAGCGAGGTATATTCTAGCGAGGTATATCCTAGCGAGGTATATCCTAGCGAGGTATATCTTAGACCTTAATGTCAGAGTTACGATGGGACAGATAACACTGACCATTGTTTCAGAAAGAACAAGTTTGATACATAAAATTATACATGTAACCATTATTGTTGTGTTTAAAGTTTTAATATAAATAGATTGAACTGATTCTTGCAGCCACCAAGTAAGGTGTGGTACATACAAAGATGTAGCACACAAACCATAAGATGTGGTACCAACAGAGATGTAGCACACACGAGTTCAGGTACTCCCGTTTTTATTACGCACAAAAAACTAATACACACACTTAGTTAAAGCACCAACAGATATCGGGTTACCTCGTAGTTCTAGCTTACACGACAAATCAACAGCCACGAATCACGTTGTTCCCATAGATTTACTACCCACAAGGAGCTACCCCCATCTAGTACTCACATCTAGTGCCCACAGACATCTAGTGCCCACAAACATCTAGTGCCCACAAACATCTAGTGCCCACAAACATCTAGTGCCCACAAACATCTAGTGCCCACAAACATCTAGTGCCCACAAACATCTAGTGCCCACAGACATCTAGTGCCCACAGACATCTAGTGCCCACAAACATCTAGTGCCCACAAACATCTAGTGCCCACAAACATCTAGTGCCCACAAACATCTAGTGCCCACAAACATCTAGTGCCCACAAACATCTAGTGCCCACAAACATCTAGTGCCCACAAACATCTAGTGCCCACAAACATCTAGTGCCCATAGACATCTAGTGCCCACAAACATCTAGTGCCCACAAACATCTAGTGCCCACAAACATCTAGTGCCCACAAACATCTAGTGCCCACAAACATCTAGTGCCCACAAACATCTAGCGCCCACAAACATCTAGCGCCCACAAACATCTAGCGCCCACAAACATCTAGTGCCCACAAACATCTAGTGCCCACAAACATCTAGCGCCCACAAACATCTAGCGCCCACAAACATCTAGCGCCCACAAACATCTAGCGCCCACAAACATCTAGTGCCCACAAACATCTAGTGCCCACAAACATCTAGTGCCCACAAACATCTATGCCCACAAACATCTAGTGCCCACAAACATCTATGCCCACAAACATCTAGCGCCCACAAACATCTAGCGCCCACAAACATCTAGTGCCCACAAACATCTAGTGCCCACAAACATCTATGCCCACAAACATCTAGCGCCCACAAACATCTAGCGCCCACAAACATCTAGTGCCCACAAACATCTAGCGCCCACAAACATCTAGTGCCCACAAACATCTAGTGCCCACAAACATCTAGTGCCCACAAACATCTATGCCCACAAACATCTAGTGCCCACAAACATCTATGCCCACAAACATCTAGCGCCCACAAACATCTAGCGCCCACAAACATCTAGTGCCCACAAACATCTAGTGCCCACAAACATCTATGCCCACAAACATCTAGTGCCCACAAACATCTATGCCCACAAACATCTAGCGCCCACAAACATCTAGCGCCCACAAACATCTAGTGCCCACAAACATCTAGTGCCCACAAACATCTATGCCCACAAACATCTAGCGCCCACAAACATCTAGCGCCCACAAACATCTAGTGCCCACAAACATCTAGCGCCCACAAACATCTAGTGCCCACAAACATCTAGTGCCCACAAACATCTAGTGCCCACAAACATCTATGCCCACAAACATCTAGTGCCCACAAACATCTATGCCCACAAACATCTAGCGCCCACAAACATCTAGCGCCCACAAACATCTAGTGCCCACAAACATCTAGTGCCCACAAACATCTAGTGCCCACAAACATCTAGTGCCCACAAACATCTAGTGCCCACAAACATCTAGTGCCCACAAACATCTATGCCCACAAACATCTAGCGCCCACAAACATCTAGTGCCCACAAACATCTAGCGCCCACAAACATCTAGTGCCCACAAACATCTAGCGCCCACAAACATCTAGTGCCCACAAACATCTAGTGCTTACAAAGCACCCACAATTTTTCAGCACCCCACAAGCTAGTAATTATACGGGTAGCAAACAATGTTATTGACAAAACTATTGGTCTCTGTATTGAGCTCTACCAAACAGAAACACTCAAGTCGTTGGCTCCCCTTGTAGTGCTTGTACAGTGTCTTTTCTTCCTGGCACACACCTTTGTAGTCCTTACACTCTGTGGAGATAGGGCAATAATGGTTAGTCAAGCATGGTCAACATGGGGCTAAGTGGCATAGTTAGCACTTGGTCAAATGGGGGTTTGGTGGTATAGTTAGCACTTGGTCAAATAGGGGTTTGGTGGCATAGTTAGCACTTGGTCAAATAGGGGTTGGGTGGCATAGTTAGCACTTGGTCAAATAGGGGTTTGGTAGTATAGTTAGCACTAAATCAAATATGGGGTTTGGTAGTATAGTTAGCACTTGGTCAAATATGGGATTTGGTGATATAGTTAGCACTAAATCAAATATGGGGTTTGGTAGTATAGATATCACTTGGTCGAATATGTGGTTTGGTGGTATAGTTAGCCCTTGGTTAAATATAGTCAAAACATGGAAAATGGTAGTATAACTGGCATTTGGTCAAATATATATAAAATATGGGGTTCAGTAGTATAGTTACCCTAATACAAGTATACCTAAAACGAATTTTAAAAGTATAGCGGATGCCCCAAGTTGTTGTTTTTGAAGGAATGTCCCTTCATGCGCCCACTAGCAACAGACAGTTAACAAAAGTTGCCTCATAGAACTGACCTGGGCCTTGAACAGACAATGCAGCGCCCCTAAAGCAGGTGTACATCAGGCAAATCTGTTGCCCGTTGACCTTGGCGAACTTCTGCATGACGTCACCTTCCTCGTAACCTTCACCTTCAAACATACAGGTGGCTGTGGACACAAAGGGCAAGATGGTTGTCGCGTTAGGTTTCCTCCCCCGGGAGTAACATGTCTGAAAGATACCTCAGGGGATAGTACCATGGATGAGACTGAACCTTAATGAATCCACAATGTGCAATAGACATAAAACAATGCAAGTGTCAACAAACTTAGGAAGAAGAACCGCATTTTGAATGAAAAAGTGCAGCTGGTTTTAATATGATAATGGAATTTGTAAATATAAACAAAATTATCAGCGAGCCGTAGGTTATTTCTAGCATATCTTATAGCAGTAAAAAAAAAATTAAGGTGCGTGTTACTTAAAACTTAATTTAGTTGACACGCATTTATAAAAAAAAAACTACTTAACCCAGAAGAAGGTTGCCTTGAATAAATTATATGAACACACAACTGAAGTGAAAAACTCACGAGAAAAGAACTGAGCACCCCTCAAAGATAAGCAAGTCTCTGTCTCGTCTAAGAGATATCCTAAGAGTAAAAATCCGAGCAGCATCCACGACTAATAAAGGAGGAAGAACAAAATCTCTGGTTATTTTTTTTTTAAAGCAAGTATTTTTTTTAAATATATTTTCATGTATGTCCCAAGGTTTAAAAACTGTCCTATATATTGGTCATATAGTCCTTGATCCTGCAACTACAAACACTTATAAAATCAGCTGCCAGGTTATGTAAAAAAAAACCTACAATTTTTTTTTTAAATTTTCATAATTACGTATTGTGAAATACCATTATATTTACCAATAAAATATAACGGTATTTCATCAGTGTGTTTTCTTTTACAAAACCTTTTTTTTTTCAAGATGGCCGTCATTGCCGAGGAAAACGTATGAAAATATAATTTTTTTTTAAATGGCTAATCAATCAGGTAGTTTTTTTTCATAAATTTCTGGAGCCTAACCTTTCAAAGTTTAGGTCCACCCTAATGTAGCGTTTATCTTTTTTTCCGTATATTTCTGGAGCCTAACCTTTCAAAGTTTAGGTCCACCCTAATGTAGCGTTTATCTTTTTTTCCGTATATTTCTGGAGCCTAACCTTTCAAAGTTTAGGTCCACCCTAATGTAGCGTTTATCTTTTTTTCCGTATATTTCTGGAGCCTAACCTTTCAAAGTTTAGGTCCACCGTAATGTAGCGTTGATCTTTTTTTTTCATAAATTTCTGGAGCCTAACCCTTCAAAGTTTAGGTCCACCGTAATGTAGCGTTGATCTTTTTTTCATAAATTTCTGGAGCCTAACCCTTCAAAGTTTAGGTCTTCCCTAATGTAGCGTTGATCTTCCGTGTTTACAGTGATGCAGGCGGTCTTTCAAATTCACGGAGCTAACCCTATCATTATCATATTACATACTTTACAAGATAACAGTATACATGTTTATTATCACTTTACTGTTATAACTATATTTATAATATGAAAATAATAATAATAATAATTAGTAATAGTACGGATTATTAATATTATTTTTTTTTTATTATTATTATCATTTTTATTATTATCATTTTTATCATTATTATTATTTTTATTATTATGATAATAATAATTATTATTATTACTATTATTATTACTATTATTGCTGTTATCATTTGAATGTCTGCTTGAAACTTGATACTCCAAATTGAACTTAATTTTATTATACGTGTATCTTATTCTTACGTTCAGAGCTTTTTGAAACAATGCTGAATTTGATTGAATTGTCATTTTAGGCCCAATGACTTCAGCCATTAGTCTTGTTGTTTTGTGTAGAATGGTTGAACCATGATACAAATACACAAAAACTGATGACGTCAAAACATGAAATAATTGACATCTTCAAGTAGCATAGTGTTTGATACTTGCTTGTGAGAAATTAGCTCGTTAAAACTTTGATAACAACAGAACAAATGGGTTTAAAAACATTAATTTATTGTAGTTGATTGATTATTTAGCGACATCACTGGTAGCTGGTAAACTCACCATTACCATGTGTCACCACTGGTAACAGTTATAACCACTGGTTGCAAGTGTCACCACTGATAGCAGGTGTCACCACGCGTAGCACGAGTCACCACGGGAAGCATGTGTCACCATTGGTCGTAGGTGTCACCACTAGCAGCATGTGTCACAACTGATAGCTGGTAATCACACCATTAGTAGCAGGTGATGTCATAAATGGCAGTATGTGTCACCACTAGCAGCATGTGTCACCACTGGTAACAGCTCATATAGTTAACGTACATATTTCTCTTCTTCCTGTGATGTACTATACAGTAGCACTGCTGTCGTCTGCCGTTCTTGTAGCGATCAAAGTGTGACAAAATCGGCATGCATTTGCCTCGATAATCCATGCATTCTATACAGGAGGAGGGGAAAAGATGAAAATGCATCATAATAATTATATAATACACACAATCAATCGATATATATGTATATATATATATGTATAGAGAGAGAGAGAGAGAGGGAGAGAGAGAGAGAGAGAGAGAGAAAGAGAGAGGTTCGACCAACCAAAAATTTAGATCCCTGACGTAACCGAGGTATTGACCCCTGATGTGACAGAGATTCGACCCCTGACGTGACAGAGAGAGAGCCGACCCCTGACGTGACAGAGAGAGAGAGTCGACCCCTGACGTGACAGAGTGTCGACGTCTGACGTGAGAGAGAGTCGACCCTGACGTGACAGAGAGTGTCGACCCCTGACGTGACAGAGAGAGTCGACCCCTGACGTGGCAGAGAGAGCCGACCCCTAGAGCTAGAAGACTTAATAATGTGTTTACTTATCCCGTGGACTAGGTGAGTCCGTCCTCCACTGCACATGTAGATGGCGCAACGGTCGACCTCGTCGTACGTAACTGAACCCTCAGAGATCTCTTGGTTCTGGTAATGACACGTAGCTGGGGGGAATGGGATGGCAAGACAGGCTGTCTTAAATCTGGCTTAGATAGCTAGGGGGTAGGCGAGAGGATGGCAACTCACTCACTCACTCGCTCGCTCACTCACTCACTCACTCACTCGCTCGCTCACTCACTCACTCACTCGCTCGCTCACTCACTCACTCACTCACTCACTCACTCACTCACTCGCTCGCTCGCTCGCTCACTCACTCACACACTCACTCTTACACTCATCCACACACACATACAACGACTTGCCGTATGACAGTACCCTCTAGCTATCTACCCAACACTCACCTGGCCGAAGATACCTCGTGAACTGTGAGCATGACATGACGGAGGAGACGAGTAGACATAGAACCAACAGAGACATGGCGGGCTGTAAGATGACAGAGTTTCCCCGTCAGGTACACAATATCAATACAGTCATATTTTATTATTTTAACTAGTACAGCCTTATTTGAATAATCCTAATATATAAATCCCCACGTTCGCACATCTCTCTCTCTCTCTCTCTCTCTCTGTCTGTCCGCAAAAAATTTTCGCCGGACATCACGTCAGAATCGGCAGCGATATATCGAGAACTTTTTACGGACTTTTGTTGAAAATAATATGTTAGATGTTTTAAATGTATAACCACAATTTTATTTAAAGAAAAATAAAAAATAAAGGCGTATTCGAATGTAGAGAAACAGTATTACTTATGCAACCGGAAAAGCATTAATACATGTGAAAAAGAACGCATAATTCTGTGACGTCACTATTGCTTATACATTAACTAATGACGTCATCTGCCGTGTTTAGAATGTAAAGAAATGAACTATTTCATTCAAATTTGATTTAGATCTACGTACACTATGAAATGTATACAATACAATTTTTCCGGCCTAAACTCATAAAATTTATTTTATGTATTTGGATTCTAGATCTAGAGATTCTAGATCTAGACTAAATCTAAATCTAAATCTACGCAATAACTAGATCTAGACGTAGACGCTAAGATCTAGATTAGATTTAGACTCTAACTTCTCTAAAAATCAATTCCAAAAATAAATTTCTATATTAGGACTAAACTATTTCAAGACTTATTTATTTTATACAAAATCTTTGTTTGGAACTGGCTAATTTGGGATAAAAAATTAATTTGAAAGAATAGGCATATTCGCGTAAGTTAAGATTTTAAAATACGTGTTTCATTCGCCGTATTTTATAAGGTGCCTAAATAGCGGAGATGTTAGTGTACATTAAACCACGCAGGTGGTGCGGGTTCGAGACACAGCAAGTCAACTTGGTTAATGTATTATTTTTTATTATGCTCGGGCTAAACTTAAAAAAAAAATTCTTTTAGAAATCTAGATCTAGATCTAGATTGTCGGGTGTCCGATAGGGCACTTCCCGGCGCCGCAGGCGCTTCAAATTTGGCATGATCTTGCCTTGATGCGACAGAACACGGGGGCCGGTTGGCCGAAAAGTCTACGATGTGGGGTCAAAACTGACCTCGACTGACCGGTACCTTATATGAGCTATAAGTCGAAAAAAAATGTCCACGGAGGAACCTCTTCATAACTCTTGAGGTCGTAGACCGACCTTCGGGCGAATTAATTAAGCATTCAAATTCTCAATGTTTTCGAAAGCCTAAGCGAAGCTGGGCAGCATGCCTAGTTGTACATAAAACATAATTTTATCACTAAACTTGGTAGTTTTTCAAATTTTAACCCATTTAACATCTTTGCTACAACAGAGGAAAAAGGAACACATTTTAACAAATCTACATTTGCCCAAATTTCATATAATGTTATGCTGCATGTTTAGATTACTATCAGCATGAACATGGTGAAATATTTTACTAAAATTACCTTAACTAAAACACATAAACACACAGCTTTTGCTCTATAATTCATGACATGCAGCGTTTCCATTTCAATATGTTCACCTAACTTTTCCGGCTTAGTGTATGTAGGCCACTCGTTCACTTGAAGAATGTTTTTATGTACCAAGGTTTATTTATGGTAGTGACAGCGCGTTTTATTCTTGTTCCTTCCTGACCCCTGGGCAGAAACGGGCTACAGCCACACCTCTCTACCAGACACGGGTTGGGATCAGTTCTCTCTTTTTTTTTGCGTCCACGTAAATCCGACAGCCCTTGTCTCTTCTTTTAATGTTCTTCTCCAGGTTGCAGTTTCTGTAGCCGGTTTTTTACGAGATAAGGTTGCTAGCCTTATGTTTCAACCCCCAACCTGGAGGACCAGGGTGTTCGCTTTGGTCTGATCCCTACCCGCGCAGAACTTCCCAGCTTGGTTGAACCTACTAGGAGTTTTTTTACACTCCCACTGGTATAGCTCTGGGGGTCATGCCAGGAGTTTACACTCTCACTGTTATAGCTCTGGGGGTCATGTAGTTTACACTCCCGCTGATTTAGCTCTGGGGGTCATGCCAGGAGTTTACACTCTCACTGTTATAGCTCTGGGGGTCATGTAGTTTACACTCCCGCTGATTTAGCTCTGGGGGTCATGCCAGGAGTTTACACTCCCGCCGGTATAGCTCTGGAAGGGGGGGGGTTATGCTAGGGTAAACAAGCTGCCGAGCCACGACAAAGCTCTAGTACACGATTGGAAGGTGTATTTCTGCTACTGGCTTACTGCTATTGTTTTAGAATTTTAATTAATGAATGTAAATATTATCTTCTATGTCAGTCGAGAGCCGGCCACACATGTCAAGGTCACAGAAAATTAATGTGATGGTTGTTGACAAAAATATGACACTCTATCCGTGACTGTCAAAACAAAAAGTGGTCATTCTGTTGTCTACCTGTAACACAACCACATATGGTCATTCTGTTGTCTACCTGTAACACAACCACATGTGGTCATTCTGTTGTCTACCTGTAACACAACCACATGTGGTCATTCTGTTGTCTACCTGTAACACAACCACATGTGGTCATTCTGTTGTCTACCTGTAACACAACCACATGTGGTCATTCTGTTGTCTACCTGCAACACAACCACATGTGGTCATTCTGTTGTTTACCTGTAACACAACCACATGTGGGCATTCTGTTGTCTACCTGTAACACAACCACATGTGGTCATTCTGTTGTCTACCTGCAACACAACCACATGTGGTCATTCTGTTGTTTACCTGTTACACAACCACATGTGGTCGTTCTGTTGTCTACCTGCAACACAACCATATGTGGTCATTCTGTTGTCTACCTGTAACACAACCACATGTGGTCATTCTGTTGTCTACCTGTAACACAACCACATGTGGTCATTCTGTTGTCTACCTGCAACACAACCACATGTGGTCATTCTGTTGTTTACCTGTAACACAACCACATGTGGGCATTCTGTTGTCTACCTGTAACACAACCACATGTGGTCATTCTGTTGTTTACCTGTTACACAACCACATGTGGTCGTTCTGTTGTCTACCTGCAACACAACCATATGTGGTCATTCTGTTGTCTACCTGTAACACAACCACATGTGGTCGTTCTGTTGTCTACCTGTAACACAACCACATGTGGTCGTCCTGCCGTGTAAAATCACAGTTAAATACAGGCGTTGTGTGGTCAGAGCTTTACTCCCCCCTCCCCCACCCACTAGCCTCTGTTATAGTTAGAAATGGGGAGGGACCTTTAACCCTTTCGGAACTTTTAATTAGTATTATAATTTTCTTTTTTTTTATACCTAGCACAATACTGTTTTTATTTTTTATTTTATTTTCCCATGTTAGTATATAGAGCTAGATCTAGATCTAGTCTAGATCTACATTCTATCTGTTGTAGTGTATACAGTAACTTTGGAATATTGATGTAACGAAGATAGATATACAAAAATCAAACAAAAAACTTTTTGGTCATGTACAACATCCTGTGGGTAAAAATACAGATCAACAAAAGTATTTTGAGCTCAGAACTTACCTAACTGTTACTTTAACAATTCCTCGTCGTAGTTACTCACCATGTACACAGATGAACCCAAATATTGATGACGTAAATTTTCATGTTACTCTAACTATCGAAATACATGAAAATCTGTCAATGATTTTTGTAGTTGTTCATAGATTTTTTAGAGAAACTGTACAACATACTGTCTAATGGTTTGTTACAATAGAGTTATGTCATTACCAGTTCCTTGAGATACGTTCCCATGTTCATTGTTTGTTTTCTCATGTGTCTGACTATTTTACCATTGCTCTGTCTTTGAAATGAGTTTACACAATCATGTCGGTCAGCTTTACATTGACCGCTTGCTATTTACTTGAGGTGTGACCTATATCATATACATGAACAGGTAAATGCACATTTCGGTTTAGGTACATACTCCATATAAGGTAGGTATATTTATGGACTGGTCAATGTATTATTACCAGTATTGTGATCGATCACAAGTTGTTTAGACTTATGTTTTAGACAAATGTTTAGACTTATTGTTGCTTACATAGCAACAACAACTCTTCCTTAGAATTACATACATTGTTTACAAACATGTGGAATCGTTGCTTTAGATACATTAAATTACCTATTGTAGTTTTGTATTATTTTTAAAAATAAAACATAGCATAATTATTCCTGTTGGTTTTTATAAAAATGATTTGTTAAGATTACAGCTACAGGGGGAAAAACACTTTGTCTAAACACCACATATCTGATGTAAAAACATTTTCAGCCAATAGGCTATCCTTGTTCACATGTCACAAGTTTTGATTTGATTGGTTAAAATAAAAAACAAGATATTATCACCAAGTGAAGAATCTACCTGTATGACGTCACGATGACGCGTATTTATCATAATTGTTTTCTCCAGACAAGGTCCGTTAACTCTGTAGCTATATAAAGAGTTGTCTCTCTTTTCACATGATTCACTGTTGTTTTATACAAGGGAGACAAGTCGTGTACTGTTTAAATTCATTCAAATGTCTTGGATTGTGTTGGTGTCTGTGTTGGTTGTGGTGACAGTACAAGTTGTGGTAGCTGACGACATCCACAGCCCTGAGCCCAAGAGGGTGGTGACATGGTGCTTCTATGGTGGCAGGAGGTACCGCGTGAGTACTGCTCTATCATGGCACATCTACATGACTGTACAGCTACATGACTGTACAGCTACATGACTGAACATCTACATGACTGAACATCTACATGACTGAACATCTACATCAGGGGTCTCCAAACTACGGCCCGCAGGCCGGATGCGGCCCGCGAGGTCCTCTCATCCGGCCCGCGGAGATTTTTTTGTCTACGGAAAAAAACGTTTGTTGGTGATGGCTGAGGAACTTTACCCAGAAAAATCAAAGATATGCCTGGAAGAATCTGGCCCCCGAACTGACATTTGTTTGTTAATGCGGCCCTCGGGCTGAAAAGTTTGGAGACCCCTGAACATGATTGAACATCTACATGACTGAACATCTACATGATTGAACATCTACATGACTGAACATCTATTTGACTGCATATGTACATGACTGTAAATCTATATCACTGTCCTTGTAATTGACTGTGCATCTACATGACTGAACATCTACATGACTGAACATCTAAATGACTGAACATCTACATGACTGAACATCTACATGACTGAACATCTACATGACTGAACATCTACATGACTGAACATCTACTTGATTTCACATCCACATGACTTCACATCTACAAGACTGAACATCTACTAGACTGAACATCTACATGACTGAACATCTACATGATTTCATAAAACACATTAATGAACATTTACAGGACTGCACATCTACATGACTGTACATCTACATGACTGTACATCTACATCAGGGGTCTCCAAACTTTTCAGTCCGAGGGCCGCATTAACTATCAAATTTCAGTTCGAGGGCCAGTTTCTTTCTGGCATGTCTTTAATTTTTCTGGTCAAAGTTCCTCAGTCATCACCAACAAACGCGATTTTCCGTGGACAAAAATATCTACGCGGGCCGGATGAGAGGACCTCGCGGGCCGCATCTGGCCCGCGGGCCGTAGTTTGGAGACCCCTGATCTACATGACTGCACATCTATATGACTGCATTCAGTGTGTGACTTTAACTGTAGGATCCTAGTGTTGTGACGTTTACAAACTGACCCACATACGTTCATCTTTGTAACTTAAATAGGTCATATCCTAGCTATTTTTGGCTCGTGTCGCTGCGTTACTGTGACCTCAGTTTTATCCCTTATATTAGCGCTACTTCCGGTACTTTTGCTATCAAGATCTAAAAACCTGAAGCTGACACTATCCCTGAACCCTAACCAAAACATTTTTGTATTTGAACACACCTGGCCAACTAGACATAACCCAACACACCTGGCCAACTAGACATAACCCAACACACCTGGCCAACTAGACATAACCCAACACACCTGGCCAACTAGACATAACCCAACACACCTGGCCAACTAGACATAACCCAACACACCTGGCCAACTAGACATAACCCAACACACCTGGCCAACTAGACATAACCTAACACACCTGGCCAACTAGACATAACCCAACACACCTGGTCAACTAGACATAACCCAATACACCTGGCCAACTAGACATAACCCAACACACCTGGTCAACTAGAAACTCTCCCTAAACACCTGATTTACACCAACTCTGGTATTTCAGGTAGGACAACAATGGAACCCCGACCCCTGCACCTTCTGCCGTTGTGACGTGGGCGGGAAACTGGCGTGTGCCGTGAGGGACTGTGCCAGACCAAACTGTGAAAACTACTACACACCTCCTGGTCAATGCTGCCCCATCTGTCCTACGGGCACCGCGTCTGACGTCACAGTTTAATTAAACACCAGCTTCGTGACTTTAATTAATTTAAAATATGTTTTGTAATTTGATTGTCTTTCATGTACACTTCCTTATTTTTTTATGTTTTAAATAAAAATATTCTTTAAAAATTGAATTTGTATTTGTTTAAACTTTAGTTGATTGTATGTAAGAGGAAAATGTAGGGTACGATATGAGGTTTGAACTGAGGAATTCTATTTAAAATACGGAATTTTCTTTGAAATGCGCCATGCAGTTTGATACTATATGCTCTTACATTGGTCAAAATGTTGTCGGAATTGTTTTCTCTCAAATTTAACCAGCTTCTGGTGCATCAATTTTATTTACAAACTTTCCATATAAAAATAATCGAATTTAATTAGATATTAAATTAGTCATTAAAAAAATAACTTAAAATTTACTAAATTTAAGAACTAAAGGGGAGACAACGAATTTAAGTAATAGCGATCTGTCTTGTGAACTGTATTTACAGATTTTTATTACAAGCTTTTATTTCACTCACTTCCTCTGTCTGTCGTCAGTTTGTCGTCAGTCTTTAGTCTGTCTAGATCGAAACGACCGAGCGAAATTTCAGGCAATTCTAACTGACAGATACTGTTCGTAGTTGGTGCGTGGGTCAAGACATGAAGACAATGCAATATGACATTCAATTTGACTTAATTGGTCACCTGATTATTTTTTTATGAATTAATTAAAATTTTGTCCAAATTAGTAGGCATGTCTATCCAACCACACCACACGCGTCATCACGTTCAATAGCGCGTCATCACGTTCAATAGGCGCGCAATGGTTTTTAGTCATGAAACTCTAGTGTAAATAAAAACATTTAAAGTACTAAAGTCTCATCAAACTTTTCCGCACTATTAGACTACGCCATCACGTTCAGTAGGCGCGCAATGGTTTTTAGTCATGAAACTCTAGTGTAAAAATAAAATACTTAAAAAAAACTTTTAAAAAAAACACGTTTTTCTTGTGGACTAAAAAGTAGAAAATAAATTTTCATACATTTGATGACAAAAAACGTGGGTACGTTCACCATCAAATTTCCCGACCTATCTGCCCGACCCACGTTTTTTGTCATCAAATGTATGAAAATTTATTTTCTACTTTTTAGTCCACAAGAAAAACGTGGTTTTTTTTTTTATTTTTCTTTAAGTATTTTATTTTCTCCTTTTTAGTCCGTTGCTACACATGAAAAACGTGGTTTTTAAAAAAGTTTTTTATATAGTTTATTTTCTACTTTATCTAATAACTTGATTAAGTATGACTTGACTAAGTGTTTATAAATACACGGACTAAAAATCTTGAGCGACCAGGATTCGAACCTGGGTTGTCGCGGCCACAACGCGAAGTACTAACCGCTATACGATCACGGCCAGCGCGCTCACATCGATTGGGGCCGAAGTAACTGTGTCAATAGGCCTCCAGTCTTGTCGGTATCTTTAGAAATCATGTCCTCAATTTTATGGTCCTTGGGGTGTAATTAAATTAAGCTAATTACGGTCTCTAATTGCTAGTTTTTATGATTGCATCTGAAATTGTTAGGCGAAAGTAGCCTACATGCCAAATTTCAGATCTCTAGAGCAATCAGAAGTGGGCTAATTTTCGATGTCAATTTTAACAACAAACATCCAAACAAACAAACAAACGCGAAGCTGAGTTAAGAAAAACGTGTTAATAATAAAAACATTTAAAGTACTAAAGTCTCATCAAACTTTTCCGCACTATTAGACTACGTCATCACGTTCAGGTGAGCAATGGTTTTTAGTCATGCACCACTATTGCATAAAAAATTTAAAGTACGGAAAAAAATTCATAAAAAACGTTTTAATAATAAGCTTTTATGTACTAATGCACTAAGAAGTAGAAAAAAAATTAGTTTCTTTAAATATATAGTAATATAATACACTAATATTTTTTATAAATATAAAGAAAAGCGTGGGTCGCTTCCTAAATATTAGTAAAAGTATCCAATAGATAATATATTGACCCACGCTTTTCTTTATAGTTATATAAATAGTAGTGTATTATATTACTATATATTTAAGGAAACTCATTTATTTTCTACTTTTTAGTGCATTAGTACATAAAAGCTTGTTATTAAAACGGATGTTATTAATTTTTACTTACTCGTATATACGAAGTATAAACCTGTATAATGAAAAGCTTTAGAATGCACTGAAAAAAAAAGAAAATATAAACAATGTTCCAATCTTTAAAAAACTATTTTTGGCTCGTGTCGCTGCATTACGTGTAAATGAGCAAACAATGCTTTCACAACATTAGATTTACAAACAAGAATGCAGATACATTTTTCACAAGTGTGCTGTAAGTGTGCAATGTAAAATTGGTTCTCCCTTCTTCCATTTCGCGGATACTGCCGAAGAAAGAATATATTATGTTAAATGCTTTTTAAGTATAAGAAAAATAATAAATAGTTTGTTTCTCGCTATTTCTTTTTAGATTCAATGTGGGAAATGTAATGGAAAATCCTTTCTGTAGGCCCTAGTTTCTATTATGTAAGGGAGAAAACTCAGCGTAAAGATTAGTCACAATATGAAAAGATGAAAACGTTAGTTGATGATAAAAATATCATTTCCCTCTAGGCCCTAGTTAAAATTATTAAAAGTTCACATGAATGTATATCACGTTTTATAATTCATAAGTTTAAGGGTTAATATTTAACTCTATAAAATATTTAATTTTTTTTTAGATACGAAACATTCTAATTTGAGACCTGAAGCATTGTCAATAAATGTGAATGTTATGTATTGGAACCTAAAGATAGTTAAACTTGAATTCATCTATACCGACACTGTCGATGAGGGACTCAATGACAGTGTCGTTGAGAATAGCGTAGGATCGGCTGTAAAATCCCTACATGAAAAAAAAATTGCTTAATCATCCTCCGTAATAGGGTTGAATATCTTTTAGCGACCGCCTACAGACGTCGCGGAGGTAACTGGTTACACTGCCGTAGGTAGACGGATGGAACCCCTGGTTCGGTTATAATAATCTAACGTAGAAGCCCACCGTGTCCCTAGTGTAGGGTGCTCTTGTGCTTGGTGTCATTCGTCGAAGGCGCAGTTTAATCGTTGAATAAGTAGTACCCATGTAGGACCCATGCAATCAACGGATCCCTTGCACTCAGGTAGCCGCTGGCTATCTTGAGGCGACCAACTTTTACTACTGCTGATGTGCTGCAGGACACCCCTTATTCGATTTAGTAATCGATTTTAGTAGTCCTCCGTATTCCTAGTGTATGACGCTCATTAAAACGAATATAGGCGCCGTAGTTTTTATGTGGTAGCACAGGGTGCATCGGGTTACACGACCGCCGGGGTGCCGGTTGATGCGCCTCTGCAATTAGCCCGCGAATTAAGTGGTAACGCTGACCTGCTGTGCCGGACACCCAATCAACGGACCCCAGATGCTAAGATAGTCGCTGGAAAACTCTGGGTGGCAAACCGCACGGCTTACTGCTTGGGCACCGACATCCAAAATGAAATAAAAAATTTAAGGCCAGAAACCTTTCTTAATTTCTGAGTTTCTTTCAGGTATCTTTCTAGACAAATGTCTGGGGGAAAAAACACTGCCATGCAGTATTCTCAACAGTATTCTTCACAAAATTTCTTGGCGATTGGTTGAAAACCAAAAAGTTATAGTTTTTAGTAGGATGGAATTTCAGGGAGTGCAGACAGATAAGAGGAAGGTGTAGGTAATTTCCTAGTAAGTTGAGGTTTGTTGCGATACATGTACAATCTCACAAACGCTAGTAGTGTAATTATTACGGATAGGCCCTATTTGACCCCCCCTCCCTCCCCCGCCCACTGAATGCCACTGTCTGTACAGTAAGAAAGGCCTGTGGGCCTTTTTGGAACTTTTAATTTTTCTAGAGTACAAAAGAAACTGTAGTTCCATTTTCTTTTTAAAATTATCTACATAAAACAAATATTAAAATTCCAATGAAAAAGTTTATTTTTTTTAAAAGAGCGAAAAGGGCCCCCATTTGCCTCGGGCCCCTATGCCTTGCTTATGCTAGCTTTACGGTAGCTACGCCACTGTGTTGCTGGGATGGTTTCGTAGGTATAAAGTATCTTAGTGTTAAAGTGTCGTATTTTTTTTTATTTGGCTGTTGTGCAGTTGAAGGTCTAGTGGAATCTGATTGGTAGTAGAGAAATGAGAATGCAAGTGATGAAGTATCGTAGTTCTGGAGCTCGTGAGTATTGATTCTTGTGGTATTAAGGTATCGAATTATATTGACTATTAAAGTGTAGTAGTAGGTCCAGTGAAATCGTTGATGATTGGGAGTACCATTTGTAGAGCTTGGTGAAGTAAACGAGTTTAGGAATCTATATTACCACTCTTAAAGTATAAATATTTATTAAATAAGATGGAATGTATAACAAAATGTGAACTTTGTTTTTTCAAATTATATTTTTTTATATGTAATCAATAATTCTAGCAATGTCTAAACCCGTTACCTGTGTTTGATTTTATGAAAGACATCCCTTTATTTAGGGGATCCAAAATTTTCTATACTCGTTTGTTCCTTACACAAGATCATTTTGCATGTCACCATTATTGAATAGAAGTATGTTATAATAAAGCTACCGTTTTTTGACTTTCAATCAAAGCCTACAGTTAAGTATTTGATCGGTAAAATATATTGTTTTCACACGTTCACACAGCTAATATAAAAGATTTGTTACAAATATTAAGTAATGTAATTTAGAGCGGTTGTATTGTGCTTTTCAAACATGTCTTAGTTATACTTTGTTTATTTAGCAATTCTTGTGAAAGTTATTTCCCTGAAATAAAATTTTGTTATTTGGATTTTCAAATGGGAGATAATTCGTTGCTTAATTTTTACATTCATTTCAAATTCCTGCACCTTAGGTTGAACGATTACACATAAATACAACTTTAAGTTATTATTTGCTACTATAAAAAATAAACCGGGAGTGATCTCCCCTAAATTTTCTCGAATATTCTTATATAAAATAACAGGGGATGGGAACTCGGGCTATAGACATGATTTTTAATCCATTTTAAATACTTAAAGTTTTAAAAATAGAATAAAATCTCGTAGACAAATTAATTGCACACCAAGTGAACGCGAAATAAAAAAGCGCATAATAGTGCGCAATATTATTAGTACTTTTAAAATTTACATTAGTTTTTTGAGAAATCGGAAGTAGCGTAAAGTACTACTTCCAGTCAACGGAAATGACTCAAAATTTAATAGAAGGTAGAGAATTAGATCTTTTACTTACGTATGAAATTTCATTTATCTATCTGAAATAGTACTCAAGTTATAGGCTTTTGAAAAATTCAAAGTAGGAAAAGTACCACTTCCGGTTATCGGAAATCGCTCAAAAGTTGATACGGATCTACGATTTTGATTAAATACTTATATATGAAATTTCATCAACCTAGCTGTAACGGTACTCAAGTTATCGTGTTTACACACGGACACACACACACACACAGACACACAGACATACGGACAAGATTGCAAAATTATGTTTTTCCGTATCAGTGAGATGCAAAACGTCGAGATTTGCAAAAATCTCGATTTTTTTTTTTGCACGATTACAAGACTTTCTCTATACTTCGTATATACGAGAAAGTAAAAATTATATAGAGCTTAAAGTTAAGTTCTAAACAAAATAGTTTGGTAGTTTTTTTTAGCATTATCATTATCAAGTTGAAAAACAAATACATCATTGGCCGTTGAAGATTGCATTATTTAATGTTAGTAGACATACAATGATACATTCTTAGTCGTAAATTAAACATCTAATTAATTGTCTTTTCATATTTTTTACCCTCTCTAAAAGATTCATATACACCAATTTTAGGCTGGAATCTATAACATGTATAACCTTTTATTTTTCAAAAACAAAAATAAATCGTTAGATAATCACACAATTTAGACTTTTCTCCCCCCCCCCACCCGAAAGGGGAGGGGGCTATGTCGTAAAGTACAAAGTAAACTTGTGGACTTAGCAACAATTTCAATAAAAATTGATTACGCTAGCAAACTGGAATTGAAGGAATTAGTACAAATTTTGAGACGAAGGAGGCAAGTAAAATTTGAATTTGGTATCTACTTATAACGTGTATGTAACTGATAATAAATTAATATGTCATTTTAAATGAATTGTTTTCTTATACATATGTTTCAGTAATAAATTTTTTGTGTGAAAGGGGGCGTTTAATAAGGTTGCCTAAGGGGTCGTCCATAAATGACGTCACTCTCGAAGGGGAGGGGGTCCAAAATTTTGTGACGGTGTGTGATGAGGGGGAAGGGGGGGGGGGGTCAGATAGTGCGACGTCACACTTTTGCATTATATAAAAGCAATGCTAGGAAACGAATTTTAGACGTTATTTCGCGTATTAGATAACTGTTTTAATAAATTTCAATAGGAATTGATTAAAATACTCTATTTTGACAGAGTCCAGACAAGATTTTGGATGGCCCCTAGGGCGCTAAATAACCTGGCGCCGGCACTGAGCATCTAATTAAGTCACATTTACGTCACAACGCATCATTATGTCAAATTTGAAAGAAATCGGTCCGGTAGAAGTGCTAGAAATTTTGCTAACCAGTTTCGTCCCGTTACGTAATACCAAGCAAGTAACAAGTACAACAGACAGACAGAGGAAGCAAGTTAAATAAAAGCTTGAAAAGTTACTGGAATATGCTGCTAACTTCAATACAAACAACTATTTTAAATAACATTCTAAAATGTTAATTCTTTTATAAAGAATTGGAAAGATATTTTTTAAATATTTATACGGAATTGCATATAGACTCTAGCTGATTTATTATCTCTCCAACTTTAAAAAAAATACTACAAAAATACAACACTAAGTGAATTTTTTAAAATTTTACAATTACAAAACCGGTAAAGTTGTGCTTAAAATGTAATAAATAATTAACTTGTGAACAGCTGAATAATAATGCAAATACACAGCTAAAACTAAATTAGATGTAGATCTAGATCTAGATCTACATCTAATTTTATAAGTTTTAGCTGTGTAGCCTATCTAGATGTGAATGTAGATCTATTTTTACTTTCTCGTATATACGTAGTATAGAGAAAGTATTGTAATCGTGCAAAAAAAAAAAAATCGAGATTTTTACAAATCTCGACGTTTTACACCTCACTGATACGGAAAAACATAATTTTGCAATCTTGTCCGTATGTCTGTGTGTGTGTGTGTCTGTCTGTCTGTCTGTCTGTCTGTCCGTGTGTAAACACGATAACTTGAGTACCGTTACAGCTAGGTTGATGAAATTTCATATATAAGTATTTTATCAAAATCGTAGATCCGTATCAACTTTTGAGCGATTTCCGATAACCGGAAGTGGTACTTTTCCTACTTTGAATTTTTCAAAAGCCTATAACTTGAGTACTATTTCAGATAGATAAATGAAATTTCACATGTAAGTAAAAGATCTAATTCTCTACCTTCTGTTAAATTTTGAGTAATTTCCGTTGACTGGAAGTAGTAATTTACGCTACTTCCGATTTCTCAAAAAACTAATGTAAATTTTTAAAGTACTAATAATATTGCGCACTATTATACGCGTTTTTATTCGGCGTTTGCTTGGTGCGCAATGTTTTTTTTATGAGATTCTATTCTATTTTTAAAAGTTTAAGTATTTAAAATGGATTAAAAATCATAACTATATCCCCAGTTACCATCCCCTGTTGTTTTATATAAGAATATTCGAGAAAGTTTAGGGGAGATCACTCCCGGTTTATTTAATCTTTGTGTGAATTGTGAAGCATAAAAAAGTAGCTCCTTTTACATAAATATTAAACTGAGTAGCAGTAGTCCAAAAGTACATAGTAAACGATAAACAGTTAAATAGTAATTCAAAACATGACCAGACCTGACAAATAAAGATCAGAAGATCCAGATTCAGCTTTAAATATTATCTTGTTTCTTATAAATTATCCATCCCTGTAGGAACCAGATCTAATCTTCGAAAATGACCACGCTAGTAAGTTAAGCTTAGAAGGGATTTCCACGGTTGATCCTTTTCATTGGGAATAATGTTGTGATTTTTTATTTTAATCGGCCTGGCCTAGCAACTAAGAAAAAGAAGTGTCTAGTCTAGCCTAGATTACGCCTGGCCTAGTCTAGCACACTGTGACTATACTCAAGAGTCAAGTCTACTAATCTACTAGAATCAGAGTAGATCTACATGGTAGTATTAGTATTAAGTAATTAAGTTATAATAGTCTAGAGTTAGTAAGTAAAGTTATAACTTTCGAATCGAATGATCAATGTCCAATGATCATGAATCTCTCTAACTCACATGATTTGGGATAAAAAATTAAAAGACTCAAAAATAAATTTGTCATGCTAGGCTGCTAGATTTAGATCAATGAGGACACCCTACTTCTAAAGTCACTTTAATACTTTAGTCTTCTTTATAGAGTGCCTGGAGATGTCTAAGTCTTCCAACTAAGTAACCTCTAGCCTCTAGCTAGTCTGGAGTTAAGAGTAGAGACTTTTAAAGTTTTAGTTAGACTTACGCTGGAATAGATGCCTCAGCCTAATGATCTAATCAGTAATCAGGCCTAAGGTAATCTATCGTTTTAGGTACGTAAAATTGCCTGCGACTAGTAATGTGAAAAACGGGTGTGGGGAAATTGCGAGACGCGAAAAGCGAAGTGGCTAGGCGGGAAAATGCAAGAAGGGCGCGAAACGGTCGGTCATGTGACTTTTTGTCTCGCATTTTACCACAACCCGATATTTATGCTGGGTGGTGTTGAAATGCGAAGATTTCTGCGAAAAATTTATCGCATCCGATGTTCAGTGGTATTGGGTCCAGACTTCAAAGACATTTTGTTTACATTGTTAAAACTTCCGTCGCTAGACATACTGATGATTTGTGAACTCCCCCCATCTTTTGTGTCGACTTAGAATACCACCTTGTTCGAAACCGCCGGAAATACCGCTGACGATAGATCAACTTCTTTCTTTTGTGTGGAACGCCGTGGCCGCCTGATTTACCGTCTTTGAAGATCGCCGTGCCGCCGCAAACTTATTTTGTATTGTTGCATAGAAATGTGTGATGTGGGGGGGGGGGGGGGTAGATGTTGTGACGTCACACTATAAAAAAGCAGTGTTAGAAAAAGAATTTTAGACGTTATTTCGCGTTTTAGAAAACTGTTTTAATAAATTGTAATAGGAATTGATTAAAATACTCTATTTTGACAGAAATTAGACAAGATTTTGGGAAAATATCAATGTTTTTAAAAAAAAATCAACTGCAATTTTAAGGGGGTTGTAGACTGAGGTGTGACGTCATTTTAGTGGGGGGGGGGGGTCTGGATTTTTGTGAAAATGTGTGATGGAGGGGGGGGGGGGGTAATAATCGTCATATATGAATGACCCCTTTTAGCTATTAAATGGTAATTTTGTCGATAGCGGACTTTTTTCAGATTATCTACAAATGCACATTTTTTTTTTCATTCTGTTCATATTCGTGTTCTGTGTTAGCACAGTATAAATGGGAGTCTAATGAACTGGGTTGGATGTACTATGTGTGAAAGATGGTGTGACGAGGTGTGTTTGATTAGTGCTAGGACTGTTTCAGAAGATTTTGTTTGTAATTAAAATTACTTAATAAAAAATAAATTACACTTTTTAGAATTGTTTATACTTTTATACGGGTTAGATTTTTAAAAATTAATGTCGACTGAGACAGGATTTTTCTCGCGCTAACGAGAGCGGGCGATGACAGTAGCACAGCAACGATGTTAGGATTTTTTAATAGATCTAGATATAGATCTATCTATCTTCTTAGTATCTATATATTTACATATAATAAAATCTAGATAAAAAATAACAACATACAACACTCGTGTTAAAGGATATGGCTACATGCTAGTTTATTTTAAAACAAAAAAATTTGATTTACCCTTGATTCCGCAGGTATGTCTCGCATTTTCCCGTCTCGCCATTTCGCTTTTCGCGTCTCGAAATTTCCCACCACCCGTGAAAAACAGGTGACTCCTTAAATTTTAATAATTATTTCACATTTTGAGGAGGATTTATGTTTTGAAAAATACAAAAATGTTTCCTTGTACTTGTTTCATTTATGTGTACCTGTTTTTTAACAATTGAATTAAAACTTTTCAGTAATAAATGAAGACGAGCGATGTTTACTAAAGCAGCCATCTTGTTTAAGTTTTATTTTGTTAAACTTATAGCGGAAGATTCAGGGGAAGCCACTCCATTTTACAAATAGCTGATGTTTATATAGCAAATCTTGCTTGCAAACACTGCTGTTTAAAGTTAATTTCTGGCCTATATTGATATATTTAGCCATTGATTTTGGTTTATTATTCAGTTATCTATAATATTTGACACAAATATTTCACAAATTAACTTCTATTAAAGCCTTGACAATGAGCTAACTAAAACTTTTACGTACATTACTAGCTGCAGCCGATTTCACGTACCTAAAGCGATAGATTACCAGGCCTAATCCTATTTAAATTTTATCCAGAAGTTCTGCAGGAGAGTAGATCCAGATCTAGCTGATAGTACCTGTAACTAATGATCAATAAATGATAGAAATGAACTAATCTATCAATTGTTAGTTTTCTAGATTTAGATCTCTGTACTCTGTAAGTCTTTTTATAGACTGAGTAGAGTGTAAAGGACACACAACACTATGATGAGACTATAGGTTACTATATAATATAGAAGCATATTAACAGTTACTTAGTAAAGAAGCATATTTAATTTACACTTAGTTAAAGTTAGGCCTACATATTGTAGATTCATATCAGTGGTTCTTAACCTTTTTGAAGGTGACAAACCTCACCAGCTAAATATTCTCATTCACCAAACTCTTTTTAAGAAGGAAAATAAATTAGGATTATTTTCAAATTAAAAACATTGGCATAGACCTATATTTTACTGGTGCACAAAATGAAAAGTGCAGCAAGATTACTGTACTCAAAGAACAAAACCATTAAAATATATTTTTTACACAAAAACTACTCAGTGTGATACAAAATTCAAGCTACTTCAATACTAGATCTAGGTTCTCTAAATATAGAGTTAATATAATGCAAAAATATATTAAAATTTAGACCTTGCTGCACATGAAAAACGCCTATATTTCTTTTAATAAACCCTGCACACATATTGTTCAACATCTTTTCTGAAGTTTCATCTTCAATTTAGCATACTAGAGAGAGAAGAGAGTCATGTGATTTGATAGGATTAAGGATTTGTTTTATATTGAATCAAATAAATCCATTACACTTTACTAATAGTCAATAATATTATCATGAGAGAAATGACTGAAAACTGTTATAAGCTTCACTTATCCTGACAGCGAGATGACTGAAAATGGTAGCAAATATTCTGAGAAATGACTGCCAGGGTATTGTGAGTTGAGGGCTACACTTATCCCGAGAGATAACTGATAAGTTATTTAAGTTATCAACTGCCTCATCTCATTCTCTGCCTAAGTACTCCTTAGAATGAGCAGAATTGGCTGTGTCAGTTTAGCCTATGTTTTCAGGAGATTATGGTCTAATGTATCATATTTTTCTACTATCAGCTAGTCTCTGAATGGAGTTTATCATAATGATGTAACTTAAATGTGACATTTTTATAATGCTTAAACGTTGTTTTGTGCATGACAGGAGGATCCATCCCTAGAACGTCATTTTCGGGGCCATCGCGATGTTGTTACATCTGTGGATTTTAATCCCAATATGACACAGTTAGGTAAGTTGAGTGACTGAAAAGTTACAGCAGGGAGTTAATCCCAATATGACACTGATAAGTTCGGTGACTGAAAGGTTACAATACATCTGTACAGCAGGGAGTGCAAACAGAATCTATACTAACTCAGAACAAAGCCTGTAGCTATACTATAAGTAGATGACACTACTAGTCAAAATTGTTCTAACCTGTATTATGTTCTCTTGGTTTAGCTATACATCACAATTAAATGAAGAAAAATATGAATCAATTTGTTTTTAATATATTTTTTGTTTCTAGCAGATCTTCAAGCTATATTCTATAAAAGTAATATGTAAAAATGTATTATTGAAACAGCATGTAATTTTTTTTTCTGTTCTACAGCTTCTAGTTCCTTAGATAATAATTTAATGGTGTGGAACTTTAAAGCCAAGATGAGAGCATACAGATTTGTTGGACATAAGGTAGGTTGCAACTGTAATACACAAGCAGGACAATACAGTATTGCATCTAGATTGTTTTCTGTTAGGGATGTCTGTAACATAGTCTGTAATATGTCCTGCCTCTCACAGTATTTATGTTTTAGATGTCTTGCCTCTCACAGTATTTATGTTCTATTGGAATAGAGTTGCTGCTTTACTTCAGTGACATTTGGTCATTGTATTTGTAACTTTTCTTTTTTTTTTTTTTTTTGTGAATTTTTAATTTTATACTTGAACTTTCATAAATACATTTGATGGTGACCTAATATGTTTCTTATCAGGATGCTGTTAACTGCGTCAAATTTTCTCCATCTGGAAATCTAGTCGCTTCAGCATCCAGAGATAAAACTGTCCGTTTATGGATTCCAAGTGTGTAAGTTTCTGTCAACCTTCTTTGTTCATTTTTCTGTGGGGCTATTGTTTTTTTATGGAGTTGTTTTTGTAACAGTTTGTTTAAAACTGTTTTTCTCAATTAGTACTAATGTTAATAAAGTAACACCTTAAAGAGAATTTATATTTGGTTATTCCAGGCTGTATTTATTACAATCTTTTAAAAAAAGAGTTTGTTACTATTAATAATTTTTTAAAACTATCTACTTGTACCTTTTTATATAAAATAGTATCCAAAAATAGATAAATAAACTAAAATATTGTACATTGGTATATTTTTTGTTGAAAATATGCATTTAAAAAGTTGTCAGTTAAAATTTGAGTAATATGACAGTAAATGACGAGTGTTTTAATGGGCTACAAGTGGAATATTTGTATAAAATATCTTTATTTTCCCCATCTAGTAAAGGGGAATCAACAGTTTTCCGTGCCCATACTGCTACAGTCAGAAGTGTTGATTTCTCAGGAGATGGCCAGGCTATGGTGACAGCATCTGATGATAAAACTGTCAAGGTAAGATTTTTCTTTACACCTGGCCATTGAAGTATTGTAGTGGGCAATTCTAGTGATTGCATTTTATTGGCTTGCTAATAATGCTAGTACTATTAATTTACATTAATATTTCTGTTGAGTTGAAGTCATAATATATTATCTTACAGAAAATGTATACTTTCTTGATAGCTATACATACACGATTAAGTCACTGAGAAATAAAGTTTAAGTCATCATACTTACACATTATTGCCACCTAACCTGTTAGAAATGAATTTTAAAGTCGCTATTCTTACACATCAATGCCATCTAAACTGTTAGAAATTAATTGAAAGTCGCTATTCTTACATTTCATTGCCATCTAAACTGTTAGGAATTAATTGAAAGTCGCTATTCTTACATTTCAATGCCATCTAAACTGTTATAAATTAATTTAAAGTCGCTATTCTTACATTTCATTGCCATCTAAACTGCTTGTTTCTGTTGATTCAGCTGTGGACAGTACACAGACAAAAGTTTATGTTCTCCCTCACACAACACAGCAACTGGGTGCGGACAGCCAAGTTAGTTTTTATTTTTGTTGGTCACTTTGTTGTTTGACCATCTGTATAATACCTATATTTTTGTTGCAATTTTAGTTAAAATGTTGTTCATCTAGTCTTGTTAGCCTAAACGCAGTTTTATATTAATTTAAAATTAGATATATGTATATGTATGTATGTGTGTATATATATATAAACAATTGTCGCATTTTAAAAATAGTAGTATAAAGAAAGGATTGTATGAACATTGACACCTATTGCTGTTTGAAGAAGTCTCATTTTGGTTGAAGTGTTTGCCATATATGGACATGTAATGACTTACTCCCCAGGTTTTCTCCTGATGGTCGTCTGGTAGTGTCTGGCAGTGATGACAAGACAGTTCTCCTGTGGGACCTCAACAGTAAACAGTCCATCCACACATTCCATGAAACAGGAGGGTCAGTCCTGGAAACATCTCTATTTCTTACTGTTATTAGGACTAAAGTTTTTAATATATAACGTAAAATAAAGCAGATTGAAATGTTTTTTTTTCCCCACTAATGTTAATAGTTAGCGCCATTATTACTTAGTATTAAATATTGAATTCTTGCCTGCGTAGCTGTATCATCACTAGTGAACAATTTATTTTTCAGGTTTGTCAATTGTGTTGACTTCCATCCCAGTGGAACTTGTATAGCTTCAGCTGCCACAGATGGGGGTGTGAAAGTGTGGGACATACGCATGAATAAAATTTTACAAAACCATACAGGTATTGTTTATTTTTTTCTACATGGCCTTTGGTTACCATCCTTAAAATATAAAGTCAAATGTTGATTCTTGTTATGTTTCCATCCTATGGCCCACTCTGTTAACAAGTTGTCCCCCCATGTTAACTGTCATATTCCTATCCTACAGTCAACTATTTGTTGCCCCATTTTAACTGTCTTACTATGGCCCACTCTGTTAACCAGTTGATCCCCATGTTAACTGTCATGTTTCCATCCTACGGCCCACTCTGGTTCAGTCAACAAGTTGTCCTTCCATGTTAACTGTCATGTTTGTATCCTACAGCCCACTCTGGTTCAGTCAACAAGTTGTCCTTCCATGCCAGTGGGAACTACCTACTAACCGCCTCGGATGATGCCACTCTGAAAATATTTGACCTGCTTGAGGGGAGAATATTCTACACACTACATGGACATCAGGTCTGCCCTTAATTACTGTCATTAATTCACACTTTATTAAATTAAGTTGTTGATCCAATTATAGGCAACATTTCAGCAAATTAACCTGATCAGCTACATTACAGTTTTTTTCCTCCTAGGGCCCTGTCACAGCAGCCATGTTTTCTAAATCTGGGGAATACTTTGCCTCTGGAGGTCATGATGAGCAGGTCAGTTCTTTAAAATATTTTTTTTCTATTTGTCATAGATGCTGCAGAGCATTGGAATTTTGTAAGAAGTAACAGAATTTAGATTAACATATAGGCTCCCCTTTTTTTACATATATATATTTTTTTTTTTTTGCAAATCTTAGTGTGTTATCTTTATTCATTGATATTATATTAAACAAAATAACTTTTATTTCCCTCATGTTAAAACTGCATGTAGTATTAGTTTTTAAATTCATAATGTGCCACCCGGCACTAAAGTTGAGTGAAACTGAATATCTGTCCTAGGTTCTAGTGTGGAAGACCAACTTTGATACCTTACAAGAAGACAACTCTAAAGCCAAGCGCAGACGTGATCGCTCCACTGAGAAACCTACGGTGGAGGACATCCCCCCCAGACAGGAGCTGATTCCTTCTAGATCATACGAGGAGAACACGGTAATTAACTGCTGCATGTTGCGTCATTTATTTTATCCTTCTAGATCATACGAGGAGAACACGGTAATTAACTGCAGCATGTTGCGTACTTTATTTTATCCTTCTAGATCATACGAGCAGAACTCGGTAATTAACTGCAGCATCAGCTTAAATATTGCATCATTTATTTTATCATTATTGGCACTGATTTCAACTAGTTTTTTTTAAATATTTTAAAATGGAAGCAATATATTCCAGCGAATTAGAGGGCTTTTCAAAATTAAACACATTTTTAAAAGTATTAAAAACCTAGAAATACTAAAAATTGTTCTTATCATATTTAAACAAAATTATTTTAAAACTTTGACAGTTACCTAAACTGCTTTATAAGTCAGCTGTCCTTTCAGACATTTTTACTTAAACTAATACTTTGTATGAAAACACCAGTTTAAGCTACATACTTTAACTAATACTTGATATGGAAATACCAGCTACATAACTGGACATAACATTACAATTTTCCAGGTTGATGCTCGGCAACAGCTTCATAGATTGGACGACGTGACGCAGGGCATTACAAATGTGGCTCCAGTTCAAGTAATGGTTTCTTGACTTCTAATATTAAACTTTGATTACTTAGTTAACTTATTTTGTTTGAAAGCATACTAATTGTTTATGGCAATATTGTTTTAAATTAGACCTCCTGAAAGTTCACTTTTTTAGTATCTGTTTATAATTCTTCACACAGCTAAACTCAGACATTGCTTCAAAAAATCAAAACTGCTCTAAAGGAGATTGTGAGGCCCCTGTAACACAAAGTTTGGATGTTCAGTTCCCACAGCAGCTCAATGTATTCATGCAACATGTAGCTAGCCAGCTGGATATTCTCACACAGGTAAGTTTAATGTATTCATGTAGCACGTAGCTAGCCAGCTTGATATTCTCACACAGGTAAGTTTAATGTATTCATGCAGCACGTAGCTAGCCAGCTTGATATTCTCACACAGGTAAGTTTAATGTATTCATGTAGCTAGCCAGCTCGATATTCTCACACAGGTAAGTTTAATGTATTCATGCAGCACGTAGCTAGTCAACTTGATATTCTCACTCAGGTAAGTTTAATGTATTCATGCAGCACGTAGCTAGCCAGCTTGATATTCTCACTCAGGTAAGTTTAATGTATTCATGCAGCACGTAGCTAGCCAGCTTGATATTCTCACACAGGTAAGTTTAATGTATTCATGCAGCACGTAGCTAGCCAGCTTGATATTCTCACACAGGTAAGTTTAATGTATTCATGCAGCACGTAGCTAGTCAACTTGATATTCTCACACAGGTAAGTTTAATGTATTCATGCAGCACGTAGCTAGCCAGCTTGATATTCTCACACAGGTAAGTTTAATGTATTCATGCAGCACGTAGCTAGCCAGCTTGATATTCTCACACAGGTAAGTTTAATGTATTCATGCAGCACGTAGCTAGTCAACTTGATATTCTCACACAGGTAAGTTTAATGTATTCATGCAGCACGTAGCTAGCCAGCTTGATATTCTCACACAGGTAAGTTTAATGTATTCATGCAGCACGTAGCTAGCCAGCTTGATATTCTCACACAGGTAAGTTTAATGTATTCATGTAGCTAGCCAGCTCGATATTCTCACACAGGTAAGTTTAATGTATTCATGCAGCACGTAGCTAGCCAGCTTGATATTCTCACACAGGTAAGTTTAATGTATTCACATAGCTAGCCAGGTAAGTCTAATGTATTCAAATAGCTAGCCAGCTTGATATTCTCACATAGGTAATTTAAATGTATTCATATAGTTAGCTGACTTAATATTCTCACTCAGGTAAGTCTAATGTATTCATATAGTTAGCTGACTTAATATTCTCACTCAGGTAAGTCTAATGTATTCACATAGCTAGCCAGCTGGAAATTCTCACTCAGGTCTTTTTTCTCATGAAATTCTTGTAACTGGACCGTTTCATATTCTCACAAGCTGGCCACCTTGATAGCCATACTCACGTAAATTAGTTGTGAGCCCCTCTCTTACCACCAACTTCTCTATAAATGTTTATACATTTGTTATAAATGTGTTTGAAGCAAAGGTCATAGTGTTGAGGCTAGGGTGGAGTCTATAGGCCATTTTGTTTTTATTTAATACTTAACTATTTATATTTTTTTAAATATTCATTTTTGTTGGATTTATATGATAATTTTTTTACACAATGACTAATAAACATTATTACAATATTTGTGTTGTGCATGATTTTCAAATTATTTCTATTCTTATTTTAAGACAAATCCAGAGATCTGACTTTTCTTTAATTTACTCAAATACTTGAAGTTTGTGTGTGAAACTTGAACTAAGAAAAATGTGAACACTGTGTGTGAAACTTGAACTAAGAAAAATGTGAACCCTTTGTGTGAATACTAAAATATGAACCTTGTCTTGTTTTCAGACTGTCTCACTTTTGGAACAGAGGCTGACCATGACAGAGAATAAACTGGTGGAATGTTTAAATGAAAAGAAAACAAACTAACTGTGATCCTGAGGAACCATGTACATAAATAAATAGTAGTGATACATTTAACCCTCTGGTGCCCAGAAGAAAGAAAAAAATTGTGAAATTTAACATTTGGTTATAAAAAGCTTGTCATCAGTAGCTAACATAAAAGTGTTTGTTTCTATAAATAACTCACCTCTTTAGAAACAGGACTTTTCAGCTGATAACAGTTGCAGTGATAGAATAAACTTTTTCTCCTTGTTTTAATGTTGAAATGTTTAGTTATGGTGAGACAAGCTGACACTTGAGTAGACTGAAATGTGTTGCACCAATTAGCAGGTCCTTTGTGAATCAATTCCTACAAGTTGAACTTGGTGGGAAAATATTTTTAAATTGTGGGTGGTTAGAGGGTTAAATGCTGAATGTATGTAGATAGCACAGTAAATTTATTTATGTTTGTTAAAAGTACTGCAACATGTTTGGTATTTATAGATATGTGTAGTTAGCATGAAATAAAATGTACAACTATCACCGCTTAAAATTTACAGGATTTATTTTTTTTATTCTGTAGAAAATACAATATTCTTAAAAATTCCTGACTATACTCTTTCTTTCTCTGGTTAAAAGAATTAGTTCACCCTAGGTCCATTTTTAGAACTAGATGTCTAAAATGTATTAAAAATTTTAATTTTTATCTTTTTTTTTAAGCAATTGTTATAACCTATTATAAATTTAAGCCCCATTTGCATGCATATACTGTATTGGAAACATGTTATTCTGTATTGGGAACATGTTATACTACAGTTAAAAATTAACTACAGATTCCAATTTGCACAGATGTACATATTTTTCAGAAACTTTTGCATATATGAACATAATTTTTCTGAACATGTAAACTTGGCACATGTGTTGTACAGTTGAAATCTTTGTACTCCGTGTATCTCATTTGATAAATATAATCGTTGCAGATTAAAGGCAGACTCTTCCGTCCAAAATACTTCTTTACTTGTTTGTAATACATATATTACAGTTTACTAAGTTACTGTACGCCATTAATTAATCATGATTTTTCTTGCTAAAAATCACAAATTTTTTACAAAATTTTAAAGAATAATCAAATGCATGTTTTATTATTTACCTTACTCCTTTAATACTATTTAATTTTTTGTTAAAAGTAGTTGTTTTACATTTGTTTAGTAATCAAATTTCATCCACACTTTTTGGCATTCATGTTTAAGATTAAAGTGTGCCTACAGTAATTGATTTGTTACTTCTAATATGCTTTAAATGTACATTAAACTATTTAAATTTTCTAGAATTATCAGGGCAAAGTACATCAACTCTAAAAATACTAAAATTGCTGAAATGTTGAATAAATTTATTTAATTATGGCTTTTAATTGTATCTAAGACTAGATGGTTTAAACGGATGAAACTATACCCTGAGCAAAACATGAAAATATTCTCTTTTTAATAGGCCTTCATGTCCCTTTCTTGCAGCAACAACTAAATATTGACAATTATTTTTATTATTTAACTTAGCTGTCATTTCTACATTATAAAGAATGAATCAAACATGATTATTTGTTTTTATTTTAACTCATTATTTGAAAAAAAAAAACTTCAATGGGAAAATGTAATAAGTTACTTCCATTTTAAAACATTTCATAATGATTTCAAAGTTCAAATTTCCATTTTAAATAGGATCCATTTCAGATTGGTAGTTGTCAATTTGTTGTTTGCGCAGATGTTTTTACTCTCATTAAATTACATCATTGACAAATATTATTGAGATGTTGCTAATAAATACTTTTACAATGGTTGAAATAATGTATTGTAATAGCTCCAAAAATCTCATCTAAAATTTTTGTAGAAATAAATCAATTGAAATTCATCTTTAGTGTTGAAACTACTTTCATCAGATTGTATGCATCCAACTTGATGAAGATCGTCATGTTTTGTTATACCATTTCAGGTTTATTTACTGGATGACATGGTTTATCATTATTGGGATAAGAATGTGCAGGAAAATAGGAGTTCTTATCACTAGTTGAGGTTATTTTTAATAGTAAAAGAGGGAAACTGGGTTTGTATAATTAAGAGTTAAAAAAAAACAATAATAATACTTTATATTTTATATTACTCTAGCTTGAATGATGAAAAAAAAAGCTAGATCTATAACCTTTTAACTTCAACTTTTAAGTGACTAGGGATATCTACTCAAGGTCAAGATATAAATGAATATATTACTCTACTGTTGTGGGAAGACTTAACCCTTATCAAACATTTTTAGAGTAAGTTTCATAGTATTATGGAAGCTGATCAATCAATCCAATACTGACTAGGCTTTACTAAAAAAATGGTATTAAATATTTTTTTTTAATGACTAATACATCATCAACATACCTAACACATCGCTAAGATTAATATTTCTTTTTCTTGACAAAGAGAAACTACTCATTTAATATTAGTTGAAACAAACATACATTGGTTGCGTCCCCTTACGGAAATGAAGCATTGACAAGTAGGCCTATGACGTCATTTTTGGGGGAAACATGTCTTAACTCTTTTGATAATGGAGAAAAAAATTTATTAAGAAAAAAAAAATTTATTACTAATTTTATTCATCAGAAAGAAAAATCTAGGTTACTGTTCTTTAAGAATTTTTTTTTGTAAGGATAAGATAATCAAAATTTAATTGATAGCGAGTGAATGAACATTTTTCACGGCTGTTCCCCTTTGACCATAAATTTTATGTTCGCTTGTCATTTAGGCCTACTTGTAAATTTTTAAATTCCAAGAGTGATAAGTAATAAAAAAAAAATTGAAAGTAAATGCTCGATTATTTCTCTTTGAAGCTAAGATGAATTTAGATTAACTTTATAAATTTGTCCACATTAAATAAAGACACACTACAAAGAGTCAGTATACAAAATGTAACAGTGCCTCATTAAAAAGAGATATTACAGTAAGTGTACAAAATGTCACCGTAGTTTGTTAGATTACCACATTAAATTGAGACATAACACAGTATACAAAATGTAGCAGGACCACATCACATAGAAACACACCAGTGAGTATTTAAAATATAACACATCACAACAATCAGTATACAAAATGCCATTGCTTTATTAAGGCACCGAAGGATATACAGAATGTTTACAATTCTGAAATACAATTAGCCAACTACAAACAATAAAGAAAGGATAGCAGTGCAATTTTTAACTTATAGAAACACATAAAAGCAATCCCAGCTATCTCAAGTCAAATCTTAGTGCATAATGTAAACTCATAGTCCTTATATAAACTTAAAATATATGGACACTTAAAATTCTATTAATTATAAAATATATAATAGGCTTTAGCCTCGATATAAACATGTAATCATCTGGTACAATTGTGAAGTTATAGTTTTTAATCTCCTTCTGTTTATCACATTTCTAAAAGATCACAGAGATGAGTTCTTTATCAGCAGAAAAAAAAAGCTTAAAAATATTTTACATGTTCACCAGGGTTTTGTTAAGATTAGCAAACAAACTTCTCAACTTTCAGCGTACATTTTCAAATAAGGTAGTTAATATTTTAAAATACTGATTAATTATGCCATGTACTTTCCCTGTAGGATTTCAAAGGATCTAAATTCATGTTCTAAAACTTTTAAAAATCATTAGCTGCAAAATTATTGCTTTGGGCAATTATTTTTTTTAAGTGGAGTAAATGAATGTACATTGTAAATTAGCTAGACACTAGCAAACTTATCGTCCATATTTGTGTGTTAAATGTATGTTAATATGCTTTTAGTTGACTTGGATCTACTTAAATGAAATGTTTTCCACTTGATATAAAAATATATGTTGCTGTTGTTATTGCCCATGACTTATAATTTACTACTTGAGCACTGAAGGGGAAACAATCCACACAGAGCTAGTTTGACTTTTATGTGCAAGTGAAAAACTTGTAAGATAAAAATCTTTAGAAAAGTCTAAAGTGTTGAGGGATCAGGTGCAAGTGACTAAATTTGTTAGAAAAACAAAACAACTAGATTCTGTGTAAATTAAAATACATGGCGAAATAAATAGTTGACAGCAAGCTAATGCCATTAAACATTGAAGTAATGGACTAATACAGATAAATATCTTCAGGTCAAAAAGAATGATTCTGATATGAACATAAAAATGAATTAAAATAAATGCTTTGATCACTGTAAATGTCAAACATAAAATGGAATGAGATTTAGACAAGAGTAAATGAAAAACAAAAAATTAGCAAAAAAAACTTTTAAAGAAACAAATGGTAGTATCAGATGTAAAACAGAATAACAAAATGAATTTATTTAAAAAGTAGAATATAGAGTTACTATCTGGACTAAAAAAAAACTCTTTGAAAATTCGCATCCCAGTGATAAAAAAAATGAATTAAAAATAAGTAGAAATTATTTATATTCATCCTGACATTCACAAAACCTGTAACCAATCACATTAAAGATTCACATTTCACACTAATGACAAATCTAAACTACATTCCATAAATAGTTAGAGTTTAATGTATGAAGAGATTAAATTAAATTAAATCTATATGTGCGCGACTGGTACACTTGCATGACCAAATCTATTTAATTATTTATTTATGTAAAAATAATCTAAACTTTTGCAACAATTGCTAATTAATTCATTCATAACTAATTGAGTATTTGTTATATATTAGTCTGATAATCTCATTTTAAAAAGATTGTATTATTGTCAACAGGCCATACTTTAGAGTGTAGACTGCATTTTTCCTGTAAAACTTGATGTCAATATATCCTAGAACACTTTGAATAATTCCTAATTAGTTAAAATGAGCCTAGGCCTTCTTGTCCCCTTCATCCTCACCCTGGAGCTCATCACCACTCGTGGCCCCCAGATCCTCGGCGTCCTCTAGGGGGACACTCTCCAGGCCATCGGAGGACGGCCCAGCTTCACCTCCCAACTCTACATCGGTTGGCCCTGCCTTGGCGGCCTTTGTCTTGGGTCTGAAGATCTTGGGTGGGTTCTTCAAGATCTTGGGTCTCTCAATCTTCTTGCCCTGTTGGAAATTGTATCAGTGTTTAATCTACATTGATACATAAAACAACTGGACCTCAAAATTCAATGCATGTATCGTATAATATTCTGTCAAGTAATTCAAGTTTCTAAATTTAAAACTTTTAAGCTAGAGTAACATCTTCTTGATGTAATAGTCCTACTTGTCATTAATGTATTACATTATAACATATAATAGAACCAAAAAGTATAAAAATTTAAAATATAAAATTAATAGAACAATTAACTAATAGAACAAGTTGTCATCTTTCAATTATTAAAACGTATCTAACTACACAATTTAAATATTCATCAGGGAAAAGTTGTGTTTTTTTTTATATAAGTTGGACTGTTGCTTTAAAAATGTTGTTACCTGAAAATATTTTCAGTATTAATTTGGTTAAAATATTTTTATAAAAATTTGGTCAGTTAATTAAAAAAACCTGGATTAAGCAATGTTTATAGGAGAGAAAACTCTAGTACATACGTGTAGTGTGTAGATGACATCTGGTACTCACCCATATACTCACCTTCTTGGTGACAGCGTAGTGGATGATCTCAATCACAAGGAACACCATGGACGCGATGAAGCCCAGGAACAGCAACAAGATGGCCACAGCCATATCCTTCAGGGTGATTGGGTAGATGGGCATAGAGCTCAGATATTTGGCTAAAAAATGGGAGATTACTCAAAATGGTATGTCTTTAAAAATTTAACTAGTTAAAGGGAAATAAATACTTGGTTGTCTAAAGCTAATCTAAAAGAGATACTGGTGATAGTGGAAAAAAATGGCTTAAATTTTTAATTATTATTTTAAATTATCTTCGAAATAAAATTACTTTATTTTATGAAAGTTTATTTATTATTTTATGAAATAACAAACTGACCCTTGTCCATATATTTTCGACCATCATAACCACTGCACTCTCCACCCTGGCGCCAATACTTGTCCTTCAGTTGTTGCACAAACCCTTGTTCGTTCAACTTGTCCATGGCCTCATTGATCTTCCTCCTGTAATGATAGGTATTTACACATACATAAATGTATGTGTGTATGTATATATATATATATATATATATATATATATATATATATATATATATATATATATATATATATATATATATATATACAGACGAAGGTGTCGCCCTCTATTAAAGTGCTAAATGATGCGATGATGGCCCCTGTGATTGATGAATTACCTCCAAACTGAGTTCTTCTGCACGACGAAGCCCATGGAGGATGGGAAGAGGTCGTCACCATAGACCATGATGTCACAGTTCTGCCTGGCGTAGTACTCAGCACTCGCAGACTCCATCATCATAACGAACTTGCCCTTGGACTTCTTTACTCTCTCGACACCCTGGACACAATAACGGGTGATTTGTTATTATGTTAGTTAAGTCATGTAAAGTATTCTTTGTATCTTTCTTTTGTTTTATAAAGTTGGAATAATGAGCAGGGACGTGTAAAAGTCAATATCTCTGACAGGTTAATGTTTTCCTAAAACGTTTTAACGCTCAATACTTTGTTACCTCCCCTCTGAGGGCGGTAAGTGTACTAAATTTGTTACCTCCCCTCCGTGAGGAATAAGGGAATAAAATTTGTGTTTGTATATTACCTCTGAGTTTGTATATTACCTCTGTGTTTGTGATTAACCTCAGTGTTTGTATATTACCTCTGTGTTTGCATATTACCCCAGTGTTCGTATATAACCTCAGTGTTTGTATATTACCTCTGTGTTTGCATATTACCTCAGTGTTTGTATATTACCTCAGTGTTTGTATATTACGTCTGTGTTCGTATATAACCTGTGTTTGTATATTACCTCTGTGTTTGCATATTACCTCAGTGTTTGTATATTACCTCAGTGTTTGTATAATACGTCTGTGTTCGTATATTACCTGTGTTTGTATATTACCTCTGTGTTTGTATATTACCTCTGTATATTACCTCAGTGTTTGTATATTACCTCTGTATATTACCTCTGTGTTTATATATTACCTCTGTGTATGAAGAAACGAAGGAATTCTCAGCATTCATCTTTGACCAAAGCCTCTTGAGAGTCTCGCTGTGGCTGCCATAAAGCAGTTTCTGGCAAACAGAATAAAAAACTAATTAGGCGTTAACTCTAATTAGTGTCTTATTAATTAAATAGAGCTAATTAAGATAATAAATAATCAACTAAGCAAATCAGCATTACTTACAGGTAGATGTTAAACATTCAGTATATCCCCGGGATATTTTCCTATTGTAGCTCTGATCAACACGAATGTAAGTTTTTCTTGTATTGAGATTGTATTTTAATGGGCTGATTTTAACGTCAGAACTGGCCAACGGCTCCGTGCAACTTACAAACTTCACGTTATACAACGGTATATGACAATGTTATGAACACCCCCCCCCCCCCCATCCCTTTGAAAATGAATCTAGTAACCAGCTCAACAGAATATTGAACTGTAAAACGCGTGGGACATTTTTCTCCAACATTTGTAAGTATTTTCACAGCTCTATAAAGATTTTACGTAAGTGCTATCACCTGCTAGCTTAGTGCTAACAGTTGCAGACGTTTTGTTTCTTTTACGGGGTGGTTGTGCGGAGGGGGGGGGGGGGGGGCAACATTTCCTCTATGGGGAAAAAGCTAGTGTGCAACTCGTATTTTGTGTTCGCGGTGTTCTAAGAGTCTTATACAAGGATATACGTATTTTACAAAATGACTGCGCGGCAGGTTCAAAACTACTGCGCCGCCGCGCAACCGCGCATCTTAGAGGGAACATTGGGGGGGGGGGAGGGGGGGGGCAAACGAATTAATAAAAACAAAGGTATTAAACAATGTGGCTGTTGACCATTCCCCCCACCACCACCCCCACAACTCCATATACCAAAGGAATCCACCAGGTCCACCCTCCCATTACCTACTTGAGTCGAGCCGAAGTTCAAGGCCATGACATGAAGGTCAGAGTTGGCCACGAGATCCTCGTATGTCTTGAACGGCAGCTGAGGCATCTGCTCCGGCCTGCATTGATAGAAAAACTTCATCAGTGTGTAACTTTTAAGGGTTTACTTAAAACGTTTAAGTTAATATTCAATATATTTATATGAAAATTAAATGTGTCCAATTCATTTTTAGCTCCCAAATTAACTCAATTGCCTAAATCTTTAAGCTCCCATTTTAACCCAACTTCCCAAATCTTTGAGCTCATATATTAACCCAACTCCCCAAATCTTTAAGCTCCCATATTAACCCACCTCCCCAAATCTTTAAGCTCCCACATTAACCCACCTCCCCAAAGCTTTAAGCTCCGACATTAACCCATCTCCCCAAAGCTTTAAGCTCCCATGTTAACTCCCCAAAGCTTCGACTGACCTGGCCAGGAAGAAAGCGGTCAAGTTGGCCGTGTAGGCGATCAGGCTGAAGAGGACGAACATCCACCAGAAGGCTGCCATGATGCGCCCCGAGAGGGAGTGGGGCGCTTCTCGGAACCCTGGGGGGGAGATCAGAGTCAGATTAGAGATTAGGCAGGGGGGGGGGGGATTAAGCTGGCAGGATTAGGTGAGGAGGATTAGGTGATGGGGCTGGGTTGTGAAGGCTAGATCGAGAGAATGGAAGAGAGGCTAGACTGGGTGAGAAGTAGATTCGATAGAGGGAGACGCCATCAGCTAGATTAGACTTGGGGAGAAACAACACTACAGCTGCTGATTCAAACTCTCACAACACTACAGCTGCTGATTCTAACAAGTGTGTAACGTGTGCGGTAAACAAATACACACACACAAAATATTAATTAGCCTACTCAACAACAACAAAAAACAAATATTAGGTTACACACAACAACAAGAAACTAACGCATCGATTTCACGTTTTTTGTTTTGTTTAGTAGCATTTATTAAACAATAATCTCCAAAAAAATGTGAAATTTATAAACTCCTGTAGTTCTTTCCCTTCTGTTTTAATCCTTCATATTTTTTAATTCAGAAATTTCAAGGGAAATAACCAAATCTTCGTTAACTTATCTTTCAATAATTTTTACCGTGTAAAATAAAACGTTAATTGCCTTACTCGACAGTAAATAAACAAAAACATTTTTTTCCCCTAAAACCTTGTTTTGAGTTCGTTTTTTTTTAAAAATCGTGACAAAAACATGTACCTTGCCAGGTGATGGTGCTGAGGGCGAAGAGGTAGCTGTTCCTGAGGGTGAAGCTGTTTTTGGCGCCTCTGGGGTCGCGGTCTGCTGCTACGTTACCCCACTCGTACGGGCTGAACTTGCCGATGATGAAGAAGACGATGCCGATAAGTAGGAGAGCTACAAGGAGCATAATCCAGTAATCTGGCAAGGGAGATAACAAACATAATTATACTTTTTTCGTATGGTAGTAAGGTAATTAGTGTTAGGGGGCAAGAGAGGGGAGCTGAACAGTGTTTCTTTCATACTTTTTCTCCGGGGGAGGGGGGATTAAAACTTTCAGGGGGGTGGAAACTGGTAAAAGTATATTATGATATTTTCTAAATAAATTATATTTCTAAATATTTCGTTTCGGGGTGGGGACGGGGGGGACGGGGGGTAGAGATGCCTGAAAGAAACACTGGAGGGGAGAGGTCAGAACTCCGGTATTTAAAACACGTCTCACCTGCTGAGAAAGGACGGACGAGGTAGCCAAGGCCAAGGTCAGTCCAGGAGGGTTTCTGGACCAAGAGGTTGACGCTGTTGGACATGAAAGGTTTGGTGAAGTCGACCACCTCCTCCCGCTCTGACGTCACGGTTAGGGCGCCGGCCCCAATGTGGGCTGTCTGTGGAAAACAGGTTGATCTTTTATAAAAAACACAAATCGGAGAGTTTTAAACGAATCACGACAAGCTTTGTTTTGGTATCTTTATTAAAAATTAAAAATTGAATCGTTCTTAACTAATGACTTATTGACGCTAATTGTATTTTGTAATGGTGTTTTATCGAAGGTGGGGATCATAATTCATGTCACTTTCCCGGATAGGGTGAAGGTCAGACTGTGTTTTCTTATTATGTGGACAGGAGAGGGTAAAGGAAGAGTGTCGTCACTTTTTATATTTAATAAGTAGGTTTTTTTTTTTTAAATTTAAATTTAAACAGTTATTTCGTAGTTTTAAAGATTGAAAAAGAATTATAATGACTGTTATACACAATTCAAAGTGTTTATTGTGATTGTTATTATCAAATTGAATGTAATGTGGAACTTTTATAGAAAACATATACTTTTACTAGTGTCCGTCCCACCCCACCCCCCGAAAATATATATGTATATATATGTATATATATATATATATATATATATATATATATATATATATATATATATATATATATATATATATATATATATATATATATGTGTGTGTGTGTGTGTGTGTGTGTGTGTGTGTGTGTGTGTGTGTGTTTGTTTAGTCAAATATAAGCATTTCAATATTGAAAACAAACAACTGGAACTGGGAAAAGTTTTTCCAGTTGACCTTGACCATCAGCACTTGCACGTGAAATTAACCTAATTGTCTGCTCCACCTACCCCGTCAACAACCTCGCCAATGACACCGTTCCATCTGTGGGCCTGCTGGGCGCCGTACTTGCCGTCTGCTACCGGCCGGAACTTGTAGTTGAAGTCGGCCAGACGCGCCACCTCGCGGAGGAGGTCCACGACGAAGCCAGTGTACTGCTCTTCGGTGGCGCCTACGGCTATCCTGTTGAAATACGGAGCCTGGGGACGAGGGTTTTGGTTTAGTGAGTACACAGGTGAGGTCAGTGTTGAGGCATACAAAGTCTAAAATTCTAATTAAAGTAATTGAGTGTAATTAAATATAGCTGTTGGCGTGATGTTTGACTCAGGTTCAACGCGACAACGTTATCACATAACGTGATGTAACATATACTAAACCACACAACATAATGAAATAAATGGGATACAACATAACATGAAAGGTAGTGGATAGTGTCCAACTAATGGATTACAGCAGTACAGTTATTTACAGTGTAGATAGGTAAATTAGTTTTGAAGTATCTTACTTTCACAATGGTGGTAAAATTAAATTTAAAAATAGACAAATTTGCCACGAAATCAAAGAATATAATTTAACAAGGAACAGGCGTTGTTTTATAAGATGAGTTGCTAAGCAACGGGTAACTTATAGAGACAAAAGTAAAAGAAGAAGAATAGGCTAAGAACTCAACATGGGTAGGCAAGATGTAGAATACAGGCAGGAAAAGTGTACAGACAAGATGTAGAACAGAGGCAGGAAAGGTGTACAGGCAAGATGTAAAATAGAGGCAGGAAAGGTGTACAGGCAAGATGTAGAATAGAGGCAGGAAAGGTGTACAGGCAAGATGTAGAATAGAGGCAGGAAAGGTGTACAGGCAAGATGTAGAATAGAGGCAGGAAAGGTGTACAGGCAAGATGTAGAATAGAGGCAGGAAAGGTGTACAGGCAAGATGTAGAATAGAGGCAGGAAAGGTGTACAGGCAAGATGTAGAATAGAGGCAGGAAAGGTGTACAGGCAAGATGTAGAATAGAGGCAGGAAAGGTGTACAGACAAGATGTAGAACAGAGGCAGGAAAGGTGTACAAAAACTGAGGTAGTAGAAGCGTAGGGCACTCACCTCTTCCTTAAAGCTAACAAAAACTGAGGTAGTAGAAGCGGAGGGCACTCACCTCTTCCTTAAAGCTAACGATCAACTCCGGCTTGTCGCTGGTCGTTGCCACGGTTGTCTGGGGAGGAGAAAGAATGTCACGTGTCAGGTGATTGACAGGTGAACCACGTGGTCTATAATCGCCACTATAATTTACGGCCATACCTCAACCACATGTCTTTACCTCAGATCTTTACCACATATTTTACAATAAATTTAGGAGGTGACACAAAATCGAAACATTTTTAAATTGACTGTCAAATCAATTTTTTATCAAATTAACATGTTAAAATAGTAAGGGAGAGGGATAACACCTAACCAAAAATGCAAAATGTTTCAAGGGGGGGGGTGATATATTTAGTTATCCGACCTTTTGACGCCCCTAAATAACAATACTTTAACGCCCAAACAAGTTTGACGCCCTCACCTTAACTATAGTTCAAATCCTAAACCTAATCCACAAACCTAACCACCTTTGACCGTAAACCTAACCATGAAGCTAATCATAGATCAGACAAGTATTAGTATTGTCGATACTCGAACAAATGGGTACAAGAATTGGATTTTGTTTTGTTGTAGATAGCTTTACGTAGAGCACATTTCTATGGCAGACCGATATTTCCAGTGCACCCAATCCAGTGGTGTTTCTCGTGCATCCTATGCACTATTTCCAGGAACACTGGCAGCTTCATAAAATATGACAATAATTACCTCGGTGCAAACATGGGAAGTGGGAGAGGAGGTGGGAGGGGGGGGGGGGGAAAGATCACGCGGAGTCATTACAAAACACACAACAGGTTTTTTTTTGCATCGTTTCTCGGTAACTAGTGTTTTTGTCGCGGTAACTAGCGTTCCCTTGCCGGTAACCACACACTACACGACAGACAGCCAACCGGTGCCCTGTCAGTCAGTGATGTGTGGATGTAAACAGATAATAACAGGGCAGAACGCGTTACGCAAACATCTCCGTGTAGATGGAAACAGCGATAAACGCAGGTGAGAACAAGGGTGGGGTGGAGTGATTGGGGGGGGGTCATGGTACATAACAGATAGGTCAGAGCCTGTCGAAAAGGTTATGAACTTGTTTGTAAACCAGCCACGACATGTGTTTTCACATAAAATGTGTGTAAAATATAAAAAAAAAACTAACAGCTTAGAACAATAAAATGAATATCACCAATTGCTAGGCTTGCTACCACTGTACGACACGTGATTTCAATAAGCCAATGACAAAGCATTTAGTTGTGATAAATAGGGTTGCTTAGTTGTGTCATTAGATGTCATAAGTCAGTCAAAGTTGTCCTCAGACGTCGTTTGACATACAAAGATGAGCACATCTCAACAAAACCTTGGTTTTGTCATCCCCTCACCCAACCCCTTCCCCCCCCCCCCCCCCCCCCCCCCCCCAGCAAAGACACGTTTAATACGTCATACCTACTGTTTTCAATTCTTGCATCAAGCTAAAAACAAAATTTGGTGAACATTGGAATAAAACACGGCAAATACTACCCCCCACACACACACACACAAGTGCACACAAGCACAAACACACACAATACTGCCACTTACCCCCCCCCCCCCCCACACACACACGTACATACACACACAAAATACTTCCAACGCATTTTGCTGTGCAACTTACCGTCGGCTCCTCTGTCGTATTTCCTGGCATTGTTTTTTTTTTACTTCTGCCAAAACTCTAAAATCCGCAACTATTACAACGTCTTTATTCCCTACATCAGCCGCAGACCTAATGCTTCAAGAAATAAAGTGACCCCTAAAACATTTGTCCACTGCAGCTAATGTGCCCTACAACATTTGTCTATTGCAACTATTGTGCCCTGCAACATTTGCCCACTGCAACTAATGTACCTTGCAACTTGTACCGTTCCAAAATTATTTTAACTCTGGTAATTCGTGGTTCAATTGATTCGATTTTTAACCGTTCTATTACAGACGTTAAATTTTCTTTGTAACATACTTGCATTAAATAAGTTCATCCAATACAGAAAATCATAATAACAATCAAAATTAAATTATTAATTTCTATGAACAATACATTTCTGCATGTAAGACGTTCTTGTCTTCTTTTGAAGTTAATTTTAAACTTTATGAACCCACCCCCAGTCTAGTTTCCCACTCATATATATTCAAAATTACAAAGAAACCGCTGATGGGTGATAACCTATTGTTTCCTTCAATAGACTAGATCTATATGCCTCAACCATTTTACGTCCCTCCCTCCTCCCCCGACCCCCCTTATTTTATTGAAGGTATTTCACTCTTTATTTGTTTTGTGGTTGCCCAAGCTTAATCCCCTAAATCCTACACTGTTTGGCTTAGGGAAAAAAAAATTCGCTACTTGCAAGATACCCATAAGATATTTTATTCAAACACAAGGCAAACATGCGACACGCGATCCCATTGTGACGTCATGATCGTTGCCGCGTCACGGGGCATGTAAGTGGGTCAAACATGGCAGCCCTCTAAAGGTTGAGAGGGTACGAGAATGTGGGGAATGTGGGTTAGGGCCCTAAGCCTAACATCTGTGAGTTTATCTAACCACCAGCCCCAAGAGGCAGTAGGAAACCAATCTATTCCAACACAGACCGATGCTAACACAGTGAAATACACAAACAGCGAGTGTCATTTAGATACGTAAACACGGTTACAATCGATAGACTAATTTTTGTTGGTTTCTGTGATATTTTTTTTACTTTAACTACAGTAGATATGAAGACACTACAATAAAACTGCTTTTATGAATTCCGTAACTGTTATTTATTTGTGTTGAGGCGTTTTTTTTTAAAGCGTCAATAGAAGTCGTAGGCCCTACGAAATTGTGCTACTTGTTATTAAAGATTAATTAATTTACTTGATTTGGGCTAATCAACCTACAATTAACGCCTTTTCAGAACTTAAGATGCTTATTTTAAATGCAAAAAAAAAAAAAAAATGTGCATAGTTGTAATAAAAATTACAGCTCATGTCAATACGATCCAGAAAATAATTCTGCGTTATCGAGAGGAATGGCTAGGCGAAGAAAAAATAAAAGTCGATTTAAGTTAGACTTTAAAAAATATTTTCAAGTTCTAAAACATGAAAATAGGCCTACTCTGTATGACACACAAGTAACGGTTGCAGGTTTTCTACCTGTACGAGACATGCAGGTAAGATTGCGTGTAACAGATATTCTACACCCACCCTACTGCAATCTACACCTAGGTGAGCTGACGGGAGAACAATCGCCTGGATTAGGTAAAAACTAATCCGTGGCTTATCCATATATCAAATTACAACATTTAATATCCAGCATCCATTTTGGTGAACCCTGCGGGAGTCTCTCATTACCCTCCCCCCCCCCCCTTGATTTATTTTTCTTTCGTTACCTATTTTTCCTCATCCATTTTAACGCCGATATTACTCGCGAATAGAAAATGTCGTGTTATACACGCCATAAAGCTAAAGAAAATGTCGTGTTATATACGCCACAAGAAAGCTAAAGAAAATGTCGTGTTATACACGCCACAAAGTCCACTAAAATGTCGTGTTATACACGCCACAAAGTCCACTAAAATGTCGTGTTATACACGCCACAAAGCCCACCAAAATGTCACGCTGGCGTCTGCTCCCCCAAGCAAGAACTGATACAAGCACGCGCATGTGAAGCACGTGCGTTGTACTACTCATAGGCCACGCCCTTCTCATTATTATGCAACGCGCCCTCATACTGTGTCTAAAAATAGCAAGCGAACTCTTAAACTGGTTACTAATCAAACAAATAAACTCCCGCAACACGCATGCTGTATGAGTGTTTACAGCAAGGAAATCGCGAAATGCTGACGTCATCAGAATGCACGCGCTAGCTTTAAACGCAAATAAACACATGAGCATACAACTTGCAAGTGACCTAAGTTCACATGATCAGGCATAACACGTGGAAATAAACTTCCTAATAAAGCTTATGTATAAAACATCACATGTTTTAAACTAACACCGTGAAGATTATTCTTATATAAATACACAAATCAAGTCGGATTTTTCGACACAAATTTCGCTGCTTTTTATAAAATGAAATGTATATTTAGAATCAGAATTTTTCCACACAACATTTATTTATAAACCGTGTTATTTTGCAAAACGGCGCTTTAAGAAAATATCCGGTTATGTTAAGTGACCTCCCTTGACTGGTCTGGCGTATAATGTGGAAGATGAAGAATGCTGGGATATCTAACGGTGCCTTAATGGAACCGCGCCAAATGTCACCGCATCTGCCCCATAGTTTATCTCCCCTCTGAAAACAATTGGCGGATTTATGAGCAGGCAATGAGATATGACAACCCAAGGGAGTTAACCGACACCAGCAGCTGAGGTTATCGCCCCTGCTCTTCTAGGTTAAAGGTTGGTTTTATCGGTTTAATTGTATCGATTTAAATCCTTCGACAAAACAATAGGAGGACTAGTGGAGTGGTCGTTAGCCTGATGCATGGTCATTGTGTCAGATGTCATGTCGAAGTCATATGTCATCACTAATGTCAGCTGTTACCCTCCCGTTCCACATAGACTATAAGATAAAAATATCATAAAAAGAGTAGAAAAATCCTAACTTAATCTAATTATAGTCTTTTATTTTTTAGCACAAGAATGCTTTGTTAGTTTGTATATCACGTTTTTAATATGGGACTCCCAAAACAGGTCAAACCTCTGAAACAAAAGTATAATAACTCAAATAAACTTAACCTTGACCTACACACGTGATTATCCATGTATTAAAAATAGATGTAATTAGAAATTTACCATTGTGAGTAGTATCAAAGCTGTCAACACGTTAGCTGCAGACATAACTAGAAATACTGGTCTGTGGCTGTTACAGAGGTATGTCAAGCACAGCTGTCCAACAATAAACTGTCTCTACTGCAAGTAGATTTTCTACTTGGGGATCCTAAACACTCAGCATGGTGCTTACTGTTGTACTCACACAAAACAAAGACTGTTAAATGACACTAAAAAATGTCCACAGGAAAACCAGACTACAGGTTCTCGAGTTCAGCTCTAGTCGAGGCTAACACGAGTTGTGTA